CTTTCCTCTTAGCACTGCTTTCAAAGTGTCCCATAAGTTTTAGTATGTTGTGTCTTCATTCTTATTGGATTCTAGGGAGTCTTTAATTTCTTCTTTGACCCAGGCGTGGTGCAATTGTGCATTATTCAATTTCCATAAGTTTGTAGGGTTTCTGCAATTTGTTTTGTTGTTGAACTCTAACTTTAAAGCATGGTGGTCTGATAAGATACATGGAGACATTCCAATTTTTTGTACCTATTAAGGTTTGCTATGTTGCCAAGTATGTGGTCAATTTTTGAGAAGGTTCCATGTGGTGCTGAGAAGAAGGTATATCTAGAGATGTCTGTTAAACTCAATTTGGTCATAATTTCTATTAGTTCCTTTGTTTCTTTGTTAACTTTCTGTCTGGTAGTCTGGTCTAGTGGTGACAATGGGGTGTTGAATCTCCCACTACAAGTGTGTGAGGTTTTATGTGTGGTTTGAGTTTTAGTAATATTTCTTTTACGAATGTGGATGCCTTTGTATTTGGGGGCATAGATGTTCAGAATTGAGACTTCATCTTGGTGGATTTTTCCTGTGATGAATATGAAATGACCTCCTTCGTCTCTTTTGATTGATTTCAGCTTAAAGTCTAGTTTGTTAGATATATTGTTTCTTGGGACCATTTGATTGGAAAATCTTTTTCCAACCCTTAACTCTGAGGTAACATCTGTCTGTGAAGTGAGGTGTGTTTCTTGCATGCAGCAGAAGGATGGGTTCTGTCTTCGAATCCATTTTGTTAGCCTGTGCCTTTTTATGGGCAAGTTAAGACCATTAATATTGGGGGATATTAATGACCTTTGATTGCTTGTTCTCTTTTTTTTTTTTGGAATGGTTGTTCTTGGTGGTTTTGTATGTGGATTTCTACCTCTTTTCTCTTTTGGGTGTTGGTAAAGTGGGGTTATCTATTGCCTATGTTTTTCTGGTTGTAGTTAACTTCCTTGGACTGGAGTTTTCCTTCCAGATCTTTCTGTAGGGCTGGGTTAGTGGATATGTATTGTTTAAATCTGGTTTTGTCATGGAATATCTTGTTTTCTCCATCTATAGTGATTGAAAGCTTTGCTGGGTATAGTAGTGTGGGCTGGCACCCGTGGTCTCTTAGTGTTGATAGAATATCTATCCAGGGCCTTCTGGCTTTCAGAGTTTCCATGGAGAAGTCAGGTGTAATTCTTATAGGTTTGCCTTTATATGTTATTTGACATTTTTTTCTTAGCTGCTCTAAGTATTCTTTCTTTATTCTGTATGCTTGGAGTCTTGATTATTATGTGTTGAGGGGACTTTTTTGGTGGTCCACTCTATTTGGTGTTCTATAAGTTTCTTGTACCTTCATTGGTATGTCTTTCTTTAGGTTGGGAAAGGTTTCTTTTATGATTTTGTTGAATATGTTTTCTGTCCCTTTGAGTTGGGTTTCTTTACTTTCTTCTATACCTATTATTCTTAGGTTTGGGCTTTTCACAGTGTCCCATATTTCCTGGATATTTTGTGTTAGGGATTTGTTGGACTAAAGATTTTCTTTGATCAATGAATCTATTTCTTCTAGTGTGTCTTTAGCACCTGAGATTCTCTCTTCCATCTCTTGTATTCTGTTGGTTATGCTTGCATCTGTAGTACCTGACCATTTCTCCAGTTTTTCTATTTCCAGCATTCCTTCAGACTGTTTTTTTTTGTTGTTTCCATGTCAGCTCTCAACCCTTGCACTGTTTGAATTGTTTCTTGTAATTTTTGCTTCGTGTTTTCCTCCCTTTCTTGAATTTGTTGGAATTTTTGGTTTGTTTTTCCTTCCATTTCTTTAAGGGATTTTCTTACACCCTCTTTGAGGGTCTCTATCATTTTCATGAAGGTGTTTTTAAGGTTATTCCCTTCTGCTTCATCTGCATTGGGGTGTTCAGGTCTTACTGGTGTAGAATCTCTAGACTCTGATGGTGTCATATTTGTTTTTCTGTTGCTGAGTGTGTTCTTATATTGCTTCTTCCAGTGGGCATAGAAAGAGTCTCTTCCTCTCCTGGTGAGTAGGGACCAGGGTCCCTTTCAGTGGGTGCAAGAAAATCCAATACTCTCTGGCCTCTACTCTCTGTCCTCTGCCCTTGCCCTGAGTGTGAACGGAAGTGGACCAGCTCTCTGCAGGCTCCTGGTTGCTTGATTATCCGTCCTGGCGGGAGCCGACCTGGCTGCAGTTCCCAAGCCAGGAGATCCGAGAGAGGGCGAGTGGGAGGAATTCGGGTCTAAGATGGGGACCTGGTGCTCACCTCTGCCCTCTGCCCTGAGTGTGGAAGACATGTTTCTTTTCTTTCATTTTTGAAGCTTTTCCATACAAACAAATGACAAGCCAGTAGTGTGTCGTTTCAAGGTAAATGACTTTGTAACACCTACTGTGGAAGCTGGTAAGACTGTCACAGCCAGACCCCTTGTTTTCCTCCTTAGCACTGCAGACCAATTCCTCCCTGGCTACCTGGTGTTTGGCAATCAGCCTCCTGCATATGTACATCTCTTAGTATAGCTTAGTCTTGCCAACTTAAGTGACAGTTACCTTCTAGTCTTTTAATATAGGTTTGTTTCTTTATCTGTGTGGTATATGTGTGTGTATACATGGTCACATGTGCTTATTATGCTCATGTGTGTGTGCTGGGGTGCATGTGCATGTGTTTGCATGTATACGGATGCCTGAAATTGAAGCCATGTGTTTTCCACAGCCATTCTTCACTTTATATACTGAACCACACTCTTGCTAACTTGACCCCTCTAGTGAGCTAGCTTACTCTGGGATCCTTTGTCATTGTCTCTCAAGTCCTGGAAATGGGAGCAGGCCACCATATGTGTCTGACATTTATGTGAGTGCTGGGGCTCCCATGTCCGGCCCTCATGTTCTCACAGCAAGCACTTTGTTCACTGAATCTTCTTTCCAGCCTTGTTCCCTTTCTTTGGAAGAATGCTTCCTCAGCTAAAGGGCTGGACCATTTATCTTAGCGTTTCTCATAGCCTGGAATTACTGACTGTAAACTCACCATGCTTGTGTGTTTTCTTAATTGGCAGCTGGACCCCAGGCTTCATCAGACTCAGGTGCCGTCCTTTTGGCACAGCTACTGGTAGTAGTGTTCTTTCACTGAGCAGCACATACTGTCTAGGTGTGTCTTCCGCAGAGTTAATAGCTGTGTCTGCCCAATGCCTAGAGTCAGCAATTGCCTGAGGTTGCAAAATATGAATTTTCATGATCTGTTTTAGTTATTAGATGTAGCTCTTTAGTTTTTATGTGTGTAAGTGTTTTGCTGAAATGTATATTATGCACCACATATATACCTGGTGTCCATGGAGCCTAAAGAGCATTGGAACCCCTCCAACTGGAGTTATGGACAGTTGTGAGCTGCCATGTGGGTGCTGGCAACTGAACTCAGGTCCTTTGTAAGAGCAGCAAGTGTTACCTGCCGAGCTGTCTCCCCGGCCGGTAAGCTGCAATGCTTACTAAATAAACATTTCCTTTTACTGTTTGGTTTCTCAGCTGTACAGTTCTTATTAGGAAGACAGGATAAATGTGCTTTCTTTTAGTTACCAGTTTTCAAGGTAATGAGTTGTTTCCCTGTCATCCACAGTTCGATTCCTTCATCCACGTTTTCACTCCAGTGTTATTATTAGAAAAGGGGCCTTGATTGGCTGAACTGCTCTAGTTTCTGGCTATCTCACACTGTTAGCAGCCCCTCCCTCCAGGGTTAGCCCTGCTCTACCATTGGCTCATTAGATGTCCTAGAGCATATTTGTTGCCGGTTGGGGGTTTTCTTTTTCCCCACACATGTCAGGTTCCCCTGATCTTTGGCTTCCCCTGCACAGGTGCTAACACTATAAAGGTCTATAAATGCTTTCCATGGAATTTTGGTTTTGTTATTAGTTGGTCTGTTTTTTTATGTGATAATAAGATTAAAAGAAAAAGCTTCAGACAGGAGAGATGACTCAGCAGGTACGAGTACACTGGGCTTCAGAGAACCCAAGTTTGATCCCAGCATCCATGCTGGGCAGCTCACAACTTCCTATAATTTCAGCTTCAGGGAGATCCAGTTCCTGTGTTTCCATAAGCATCTGAACTTGTGTACACACACTCTTGCACAGATAAAGACATATATCCACATAGCTACAAATAGTAACAGTAAGTCTTACAAGTCATTCACAGCCACCAGCCTCCTCTTTCCAGGAAGAGGCTGAGCCATGGAGGAGTTAAAGTGCAGTTGAGAATAGCTAAATTTGAAGTTTTTGACCTGGAAGATCAGGTGGTGGCAGCTTCCCTGAAGAAGATTTGAAGTTTGAGGAAAGGAGCAAGATACATGAGGAATGAGAGCAAGCTTTGTCTTAGTATGTTTGCAATGAGCATAAGATACCATGAAGTAACAGCAATGTCTTGTTAAGAACTGTACTGCTAACCTTTCCCAGATAGAGCTGTGTCATGAAACCCCAACTCCTAGAGAATGATTAATTCCATCACAAGTAGGAAAATAATGCACTATTCATGGCCAAAACTGCAGTGTGAAATACAGAGCATCCATCTGAAGATGAAGGAGAGCTTAGTAACCAACACGAATAACTTAGGAGTTTTATGTGTTTTTCATAAACTGGCACGACATGTATACATTGAGCAGCAATTCAAACTGCATGCACATTCAGAGATCTGGTGCTTTGGAGTCTAGGTGTGGATACCTTGGATTTGGCTGGAATATGAGAATAGATTGCTAAAATCTGAGCATATTTCTACTTGGGATTTAGACGTGCTAAGTATTTGTAAGCTGTACATCTTTTTGCTTTGTGTAGACTGCATGCTATCATGATAGTAGTGAGATCTTCTCCACGGTGAGCCCGTCCAGGTGGGTCTAAGCTGAGGTAGCCCCCGAGTGCATTTGAAGACATCAGGGTTCTTCTACACATTTGTTAGCATTACATATGAACTCAAGTGACTTGTAACTTTTCACTTCTGTTTTCTCTTTGCTTTCTTTTCCAAAATCTAGGCCTGCCTTCAGAGACCTGAGATCAGACTTGAGTCACTCAAAGAAGATATTAAGGAATTCTTTAAAGCATCAGGTTTGTAAAGTTCCCTGTCTTTAAGATCCTCAGACTTTCAGCTTTTCCCTCAACACTGGTATAACTTGGCTGAGGGACTTCTGTCTGGAGAGGATTAGAGTTCACACATTTTAATAAAATTGTACAAACACTCCAGGACACTGTAGGAATGACTGCTTTGCAATAATCAGTTGCTTTCTTCCTACTCAAAATATGTGCCAACTGTGGTGATTATATCCTTACTTAGTAGCTTGTCTTTTTATTTCCTGCAATGGCTATTCTCCTCCTACATTATTTTTCTATGCTTTCAAAAAAAGAAAATCTTAATTTGGGGGGGGGGGTGAGACAAGAAGGGATGACCTGGCATCCACACTTGATGTGGGAGCTGAACTATTAAGTGATAGCTCCTCGGAATGTTCATTCTGTTTTGCTGGCCAGAAGTTTGATGTTAACTAGTTGACTGTAACTGGTTCTTGAGTTCTGTCTCTGGTATGTACTGGGCTGTTTCTTGTCCTTCTCCCTGACACATCTATCATTCAAAGACATTGGCATTTATTTAGCACATTGACAGCGGAAGAAGGTATCATCCTTAACTTGAGAAAACGGTTCAGTAGTTTTACTTACATAGCAGTTGATAGTTGAGAGAATTCTTTCACAAATAACCATGCTGCCTACGTTTTAGTGAGTAAATCTTAAGTTGGGGCTAGAGAGATGGCTCAGCAGTTAAGAATACTGACTGCTCTTGCAGAGGACTCTAGGTCAGGTCCCAGAACACACATGGCAGCCCACAACAATTCTAGTTCCAGAGGATCCATTGCCCTCTTCTGATGTTTGTAGACTCATGCACAAATTTTGGTGCACATATACACATGAAGGCATACACACATAAAATAAAACAAATTTTATACTAAAATTTTACTATGTTTCATATTTAAGACAATAATATTTATTTTTCTAAACTTAAAAACAGGTTGGGAGAAGAAACTTCAGAATGCTGTTTATAGTGAACTGAATGTGTGAGTTCTTTTTATCTATTTTGACATACTTTTTTTTTAAAAAGTAGATTTACCTTGTAAGTAGTAAAATTAATGTTGCTGTTTATACATGTATTCTCATTTCTCATTAGTATACTAATAGGATTTCAGGAAAGTTAATATCACAAATCACTGCAGTCTAGTCTGAGAGTGAGTAATGATTAGGTGGTTCTTTTCTATATTACCATATTTGTATATAGAGAATGTATTCAACCAGCATAATTAGGTAATGGGATAGGTCTCATAATACTTATATTCTTTTTATTGTTAAATTTTGAATATCATACTTTTTCCTGTCATTACAAACTGATCATTCTAAACATTTCTTTTTCTTTGTAAGATTACTATTGTTGCTACTATTTTTATTTTTATTTGTCTTGATTTACTATCAGGGCTTTTTAAAGTTTATGGAACTTCTGCTCTAAAAAAGGAAAAGTCAGGGTTGGGCAGATGCCTCAGTGATTAAGAGCACATTACTGTTCTGGTGGAAAACCCAAGTTAGATTCCTAGTGCTAATATCAGGTAGCTCACCCACCTGTAACCAGCATAAAGGGATACAATGACTCCCTCTTTTGGCATCAGTCAGAACCTGCACTTGTGCCCATACCTCCTCCCCCACAAATGCTTAATCAAGATTAAAACCTTTTAAAAAGAAAACTGTAGGCAGTAATATTTGTTAGGTAACATTAAATAATTGGATCTAAACACATGCACTCATACCTAATAAAGTTCATCTCATTTTATTTGTTTTAATAAACACTTCAAAGATTTTAGGTTTCTATTAAACAGAAAGCCTTCCATATTCTGCTGTTGACATGAAATCTGCCACTCAGCTCAGTTTGGTACTTCCCACTTCATATTGCACACCTTGTTTCATTTTCCATTCACTTAAGATAAATACATGTTTACTGTTGCTTTAACAACTATCCAGATTATATTGGTGATAATTTGTATTGCTGGAATGCTTCTTAAACACATTATGTTCTTTGGCTTATTTATGTACCAGAACCTAGGTTCAATGTCCAGCCCTAGTCCCCTAAATTAATAAGAGAGAGAGAGAGAGAGAGAGAGAGAGAGAGAGAGAGAGAGAGAGAGAGAGAGAGAGAGAGCTGGAATGCAATCTTTATAACTACTTCTACCAAATAGAAATTCATATCATCACCATGGAAGAGTAATCTACCTGACATATCCAGTTTTTTGACATTTCACTGTTCATACTCAACTTCTCAATCAAGTTACATAGAAAAACAATTGCAAACAATCCAGTGATGTTTTAGTGGTGTGGTAGTTTGAAAGAAAATGGTCCCCATGGGCCCTTATGGAGTGGCACTATTAGGAGTGTGGCCTTGTTGGAGGAAGTGGTCACAGGGAGTGAGCTTTGAGGTCCCACATGCTCACACCATGTTTCCTGCTGCCTGCCAATCTGGCTGTAGAACTCTCAGCTCCTTCTCCAGCACCAGGTCTGCCTGTGTGCTGCCATGCTTCCCACAGTGACGATAATGGACAAAACCTCTGAAACTGTAAGCCAGCACCAATTAAATGTTTTCCTTTAAAAAGAGTTACTGTGGTCATGATGTCTCTTCATAGCAATAGAAACCTTAACTAAGACAAGTAGGTTGTGATTTTGTTTTGAGCCACATTCACAGCCATACTTGGGCACATATGGCCCAAGGGCTATAGGTTGGAAATGCCTAGATCATGTTTTAGTCTGTTTTGTGCTGCCCTTAAGGAAGACCCAGCAATTATTTAAGTTGGCGGCAGCAGTTTAAGTGTCCACTCCAAGTTCATGGGTGAGATGTAATTGTCACTGTAACAATATTGCCAACAGAGGCTCTAAGGAACCATTAGGGTTGGACTGAGATACTGTAAATGGCCAGGTTTGGCCATGTTTTCCCAGTGAACTTCTTAGCTTCTGTCACCAGATGTTGTTGTGATTTTCTTTTGGGCCTCCAATCAGCTCCCTAATAAGGACATGGGGACTTACTATTAATTATGAATGCTTGGCCTTGGCTTAGGCTTGGCCTACTAGCTCTTTTAGCTTAACCTGTTTCTACTCATCTACATTTTGCCTCTGGGCTTTTTTTTAACCTTTCTTTCATTCTACGTGTCCTACTTTCCTGCTTCCTCCATGTCTGTCTGTCTGTCTAGCCCCCAGCATCTCCCTGGCATCTCTTTTTCTTTTTTTCCAGGTCTAAATTCCTCCTCCTATTTACTCACCTATACCTCCTCCCTTGCTATTGGCCATTCAGCTTTTTATTAGGCCAATCAGGGGCCTTAAGCAGACAATGAAAACAGCAATACATCTTTACATAATTAAACAAATGCAACACGTTGTTACATAGTTAACTATTCCACAACATGAGCAAATGCAACAACCAGATGATATAGGAGAAGTCTGTCTTCAGATGTTGGCATCTGGATGTTTGACTTCCTGGAGCCTAGAACTGTAAGCTAGAGTGCTTCTGTTCTTAACTGATTATATTTTAGCTGATGTGGTGTTGCACACCTATAATACCCGCACTTGAGAGGACCAGTTCAAGGCCATCCTGGTCTGTACAGCAAGTTCTAAGCCTGACAGGGCTACCCAGTTGGACCTTGTGTGAAATACAAAACAAAAACATTACCCATTTCTATAATGGTATAATTAAAATTTCTATTAAATCGGGTATATACACCTGAACAGATACTCTATTTCATTTGTAGCAAGAACTGCAGAGGTAAGTAACTTCTTCTCAAGAGAATTCATTATTGCGCCCGCAGTATGCTACTTAGCTGCCTCTTTCTGCTTCTAGGTATCCTTTGCCCAGTCATCCTTCTGCACCTCCGGAGCATCTCAAGGAACCTTTGGTGTACATGAGGAAAGCACAGGTTGGCCACTGTTCATTTTTGTTTTCCTTTTCCATGCTAAGTAGTACAGTGCAGAGTATATTCTTATTGGCATAATATGTATTTATTCTTCATATAAAGACTGGGTAAGACCCTCTTAAACAGTGCTAATAATTCTTGTACACTCTGCCTGTTTATTTTTAGTAATCAAGATTCTTACTTGTTTAGCTATAATAACCATGGAAAACATTACATATAAAGAAAAAGGTCATGAGCTACACTGACTTGAAGTTTGAGATAGGATAAAGTCTTATATAACAATCTACTCGCCATGGCCTGTGAATTTAAAAGAATGAAATGCAGATAAACTAATGCATTAAAAGCAAAACATAAAAACCATAAAAAATCAAACCAAAACAAAAAAAACCTTTGAAGCCAGTGTTACTGATACCATATTAAAAATAGTTTTACTCTCACAGCAGGCTGCCATCATAGATGGATGGCGACAATGAAGAAATGGTGTTAAAAGGAAAAAATACAACACAAATAAGCACAAAACTACAAGAACATATTAGCATGTAAAGTTAATGAGCCTGTCACATGTCCCGTCTCTCTAGCTGTCCTTCCCTGGGCAGAGCCCATCCTCCTCTCTGGTCCAGCCATGCCCATGAACTTCCTGTGAGTGCTGGAGGGCCGTGGGCCATCACAGCCAGAGGCTGGGTTCTTCCTTCTCTCCCCCATGGCCTCAGAAATAGATTAAGTTTTTCTTTTTTGAAAGACATGAATTTTTTTATTTTAAAACAATCTTTTCTCATTTTACATGTCAATCCTAGTTCCTACTCCCTCCCCTCCTTCTATGCTCCCTACCTCTCCCCTCCCCCACTCCATCCCAACCACTCCTCAAAGAGGGTAAGGTTTCCCATGGCGATTCAAGGAAGTCTGACCATCTCTTTGAGTCAGGACCAATGCCCTCCCCCTATATCTAGGCTGAGCAAGGTATCCCTCTGAAGAAAATGGGCTCCAAAAATCCAGTTCAGGCACTAGGGCAAATCCTGGTCTCACTGTCAGTGGCCTCACAGACTGCCCAAGCCACACAAGTGTCACCCACATTCAGAGAGCCCAGTTCAGTCCCATGCAGGTTCCTCAGCTCTCAGTCCAGAGTCAGTGAGCTTCCACTAGCTGAGGTCAGCTGTCTCTGTGGGTATCCTCGAATGGTCTTGACCCCTATGCTCATAGTATCACTCCTCCTTCTCTTCGACTGGACTCTGGAAGGTTGGCCAGAGCTTAGCTGTTGATCTTCTCATCTGCCTCCATCAGTTGTTGGATGAAGGTTCTATGATGATAATTAAGGTAGTCATCAGTCTGATTACAAGGGAAGGCCAATTCAGGCATCCTCTCCTCTAATGCTTAGGGTCTTAGTTGGGGTCAACTTTGTGGATTCCTGGGAATTTCCTTAGTGCCAGGTTTCTCACTAGCCTCATAATGACTCCCTCAATATCTCTTTCCTTCCTTTCCTTTCTGTCCTTCCCCCATTTCCACCATCCAGTTTCCTCATGTTCTTCTCTTCCCTCTCCTTCTCTCCTTCCCCTCCCCTTCTGCCTTCCCTTCTCCCCACCAACCATGTTCCAAATTTTCTTGGGAACTCTTGTATATTTCCCTTTCACAGAGGGATCCATGTTTGTTTCTCTTAGGGTTCTCCTTGTTACCTAGCTTCTCTGAGGCCATGGACTATAGGCTGATTATCCTTCCCTTTATGTCTATTATCCACTTATGAGTGAGTACATACTTTGTCTTTCTGTGACTGGGTTACCTCACTCAGGATGTTTTTTGTAGTTCCATCCATTTGCTTGCAAATTTTATGATGTCATTTTTTTGCTTGTTTGCTTGTTTTGTTTTGTTTTTTCTGCTGAGTAATACTCCACTGTGTAAATGTACCACATTTTCTTTATTTAGTCTTCAGTTGTGGGGCATCTAGGCTGTTTCCAGGTTCTGGCTATTATTAATAATGCTACTATGAACACAGCTGAGCTACTGTCCTTGTGGTATGAGAGTATCCAAGAGTTGTATTGCTGGGTCTTGAGTAGATTGGTTCCCAATTTTTCTGAAAAATTGAAATCATTTCTACAGAAATCCTGTGGGCTCATCCCCCACTCCAGCATCATGCCATTGCTGCTACAGAAAATGTTCTCCCTTGTCCAGTTGTCAGGTTCACACTAGTGTACATTAGTAAGATTCTGACTTTCATTTTCATTAAAACCTCCTCCAGATTAGATGCAGATATAGACAGTGTAACAGAAACCATGGAGGTTTTGAGGAAATATGTAATCTATTTATTCTAAGTGGTATCTCTAGGATCAGATAACATTTATCTAGTTGTATGAAAGCACGATAGTTAAATATATTCTTGAAAGCACTGTGTGATTTTTGTTATAAAAATTTAAACTGAAAAAACTTAGAAGGGTAAGGTCTAAATATTTTTAATAGCAATTCTTTATTGATTTTTTTGGGGGAATTTCACATCACATACCCTAATCTCGCTCACCTCCTGCCCCTCCATATATGCTCCTTACCTCTGCAGCATCACTCCCAAAAGAAAACTCCTCCAAAAATTAATTAAAAATAAAACAAACAAACAAAAAGTCCACCTTGCTCCTCCACCTCTCCGACACCTCTTCCTAGTGGCATTGGGAGCTGCAGTGTGTCACACAGTATACCCTTTGGTCCAATCAGCCCCGCCCACAAATGTTCATTGCAATGAGTTATTGGTGTTTGAAGGCCTCTAGTTTCTGGTACACTATCCTCACTGGACCCTCACTGAAACTCCTTTCAGATATCCTGCTGTTGCCCCAAGTCATGGACATCCTGCGACTTTCATTCTGCAGGATTTCACAAGCTCCAGCAAGTCACAGATGTTAGGGTGGACCAACCCAAGACCCAGGATGTGGGCCTGCGTGTTAGCTGAGCTGGTCAGTTCAGGCCACTGGTTCCACCCCATCAGATGAGGGGCCCGGCCAGCTCTCCTAGGCCCATGACATCAGGGCCAGCTCTCCCACACCTGTGGTGGGGAGTGGGGCCATCTCTGTGAAGTGCTGTGGTGTGAGGATGTGCAGCTCTCCCATGAGGGGCAGGGCCAGCTATCCCTGGCCTAGTGAAGGGTGGGGCCAGCCCAGCATGGGCCCTCAGATTTCAACATGCATGGTTACTATGGTCCCCTGTGATAACACTGGCCATGGACATTAACACAGACCCCAGCTGCAGCAGAACCATGTACCCAGATATGGCCCTCAGCTGCAGCTCAGGCCTGTGGTACTTAGTGGCAGTGCAGACCACTCAGATCGGTATGGCCCTAATGCAGTGAAATCTTCAAACACCGACATGGCCTCAGGTGGCTGCCCTGATCCCAGTTATCCTCATGGCTTTTGGTGATTGCTGAAACCATGGACATCAACATAGACCCTGGTCACCATAGGGCCATGGACCCAGACATAGTCCTTAGCTTCAGCTCAGGCCCAGATGTCATCATAACCCCATGTGGCAACACAGGCCACCCAGATCAACATGGCCTCAGTGGAGGCATGGACCTTGGACACCAACATGGCCACAGGTTGTGGCCTAGACACTGGGCATCTGTGTGGCTGCATGGGCCATGGATATCAACATAGACCCTGGCTGTGGTGGGACCGTGGACCCAGGCATAGTCCTTGGCAGCAGCCTGGGATTGGATATGTTTTTTGGGAAAAATATTTTTTTTCTTAAGGCAGCGTCTTACTATGCAGCCCTGGCTAGTCTGGAACTCACTAGCCTCAAACTCACAGAGATCCACCCGCTTTTGCTTCTGTAGTTCTGGGATTAAAGATGTGTACCACTATGCCTGGATAGAAAAAAATAGTCTTAAATTGCAGGGTCTTACTCTTTGGCCCTTGCTAGCATGAGACTCCCAATGTTGACCAGACTGGCCTCAAACTTCCAAAGATCTTTCTGCCTCTGTCTCTAGAGTGTTGAGATTAAAGTTGTGCACCACAATGCCTGGCAGAAATTTTTAATTAATATAGAAAAATCATGTTTTAGTATGTCAGATATGAGAAAAAAAGTGCAGAGGTTGACTTTCTAGAATGACCGAAAGAAGAGATAGACAGATATGGTAGTTTGAATGTAATTGGCCCCCATAATCTCATAGGGAGTGACACTATTAGGTGGCTTTGTTGGAGTGGATATGGTCTTGTTGGAGAAAGTGTGTTACTGTGGGAGCAGGGATTGAGATTTCCTATGCTCAGGATAATGCTCAGTGTCTCAGTCAGCTTCCTGTTGCCTTCAAGATGTCAGACTCTTAGCTACTTCCCCAGCACCATGACTGCTTGTACACCACCATGTTCCCCACCATGAACCTCTGAAACTGTAAATGAGCCACCCCAAGTAAAATTTTTCCTCTATAAGAGTTGCCATGGACGTGGTGTCTCTTCACAGCAATAAGATACTGACTAAGACACCAGGCAAAGAGTAACTTCATCCCTAAAACTGCCAGTGGCTGACTCTGAGTGGTAGCAGTTTATTCTGTATAGGAATAAATTCTGTTTTCTTTTCAGACTCGGGACTTGTCACACTCTGTACTCAAGGCAGCCTGCCACCTATTTTTAAGACTAACAAAGGGGAGTTTTACAAGTGTTTTTAGCTGTCTGCAAAGCAAATTAAGAATAATATTAAGAACTGTATTGTGTACACCAAAAATGGCCACAAATGAAAACAACAAGATAAGCACTGGTGGGGTTGTGGCAGCCTGAATTAAAATGCTGTCACTTGTGGAGTAAAGTCTGACAGTTTCATACAAAAATAAGTGTATGTATTGTAACCCATAGACTCCATCCCTTATCTGTTGCCCAAAATGTAAAAAATAAGTATCCATGAAAAGACTTTTAGAAGGATGTTCATAAAAGCCTTATTATTATGAGTTCCAAGCTAGAAATCATCTGGCTGTTTATCAGTTAGAAAATAAGTAATAAACTATGTCCTTTGCATAGTTGGATTATCACTCAAAATGAAGAAAAACAAGCTATCAATATATACTATAATATAAAGAAACCCCAACTTATTATTTTGAGTCATATTAACTTTACATAAAGTATTATGTTAGGGGCTGCAGAGGTGGCTCAGCAGTTCAGAGCACTGGCTGCTCTTCCAAAGGTCCTTAGTTCAATTCCCAGTAACCCCATGGCAGCTCACAACCGTCTATAGTGGGATCTGATGCCCTCTTCTAGCATAAAGTTGTACATGCAGATAAAGCACTCATACACATAAATACATAAATCTTAAAAAAAGAATGTATGCTATGTTATTCCATCGATAAGTTCTAGGATGGGGAAATTAATCTATAATAGGAAAGTTTCAGAATAAGGAAGTTTGAGGATAGAAGTTTACAGCAAGTCATGTGAGGGAATTTGCTATGGAACATGATCATGTTCAATGTCTTAGTTATGGTTTAGGTGGTACATGTGTATCTATTTATTTGAGCTCCATGGAATGACACACTTAGATTATGCATTTTCTCCTATGTAAATTAACTATATTTTGAGGTAAGAATGGTAAGTAGTAATGGTGGTATGTACATGGATATCCAATTGAATTATTTTTCACCCTTTTTTTTTGTTTTGTCTTTTTGATTTTTGTTTTTCAAGGCAGGGTTTCTCTGTGGCTTCTGAGGCTGTCCTGGAACTAACTCTTGTAGACCAGGCTGGTCCCGAACTCACAGAGATCCGCCTGCCTCTGCCTCCCAAGTGCAGGGATCAAAGGCATGCACTACCACCACCCAGCTTAGTTTTCACCTTTTATATGTGAAAAAAATTTTAAATCTATCAACATTGAAAAAAATAAGTCCATGGCTCAGGAAAATGATAGGGATTAGTAAAATATACTTTTGGAAATAGTCATGCTTAATCATTTACAGTATTGTCTTTGACCCTTTTTGCACTGCAGGAGTTAAGTAGTTGCAATGGAGACCCTGTGACCTGCAAAACCTGTAGTATTTACCTGTCCTTTTGCTCCAAATCTCCAAATGTTTTCTGCCTTAAGGGCATCCGTCCTCAGCACCCTGCATAGTGCCTAGCCTAGAGAACTTCTGAATAAGTGTCTGCTGAATTAATCAATTCTTTAACCAGGCCATATGAAGTAAAGTATCTCTATTAGTCAGGCCTTTGTCACTGTAGTAGGCGTCCAAGAGAACCACTTCAAAAGGAGAACAGATTTATTCTAGGTCACAGTTAGAGAGGTTCAGTTTATGATCTTCCAGCTCTACTGTTTCTGTGCAGTGTTGGAGCAGAACATTATAGTGGAAGGGTGCAGAGGAGCAAATTAGACCTGTTCATCTCTTGGTGGACAGAAACCACAGGGAAGGAGAAGGGCCAGGGCTGAGATACATCTTTGCAGAACAGATTCCTAGTGACCCAGTTCTTCCAACTAGTCTCTGTCTCCTACTCTCACATCTTCCCAATAATAATGTAGTGTTATGCATCTCTAAGGGCATACATAATCCATCAATTTTCTCAGAGTTCTTATGATCCATTCACTTTCCAGATTCAATTAGCTGAAAACAATAAAAGCTCCTGCCCAATACATGAGATTATGGAGGCATCTCATATTTAAACTGCAGTGTTTCACTCCTTAGCTCCTAAAAGTTCGTGTTCTTCTCATACAGTGAGATGACATTTAGTTTATCTTCAGTGGTCCCAAAAGTCTTACCAGTTCTATTATTGCTCTAACATCTAGGTCCAAATTGTCTTCTAAGACTTAGGGAAAACTCTTTTCTGTAAACCCTTATAAATAAAAAAAAGCAAGTTACATATTACATAATGGTACAGAGTCAACAATTCTATTCCAAAAGATAGGTAATAGGGTCATGGAAAGGAAGGATAAACCAAAGCAAGACTGCAACCCAGCAGAACATTAATCTGTCATCTGGGACACATGGCAGTTTGATGTGAGCTCCAGAAGGTTTGGGCAGCCCCCACCACAAATGTTGCCAGCTGCAGTCCACATGGCTTCTCTCCTATGCTGGCTTTTCTTTCAGATGCTCCACAATGCTGGCATCCGTTTGTGCTTATTTGAAATCTAGGTGGATGTCTCCAGGACCAGAGCTCTTATATTTTGCATGCTTGCAAAGCCACTTCATGGATGACAAGAAGGTTGCCTCAACTTGAGTAATAACCAGGCTTCTCTGAACTGAACCTACAGCAGTCTCTGCCTCCCTGATCAGCTCAGTACAGCGACTCTGTGCCAGCAGGATGCCCTGTTTCCTCTATTCTCAGGAGAAAAGTCTTTTAAAGAATGTACCTTGTGTAATTTTGAGTTTGCAATGGGTGGGTTCTAATCAGTTCCTGAGATGCCTTCAAGATGTCTGTTATATTGTCTCAACTTCAAATATCTGGCTTCTTTTTAATAGTGTGAGTCTCTTCAGAAAACAAACCTTCCTTAACCCCAGTTTTAATATAGACTTTCTTGGCCAAATTTCAATGTTTGTAAGTCTTTCTGATCTCTTTTTCTTTTTCTCTTGGTTATCAACATAAACCACATGGTCAGGATTTGCCATAGTAATGACCCTACTCCTGGTACCAATTTTCTATTAGGTTTTTCATCACTGTGACAAGTATCTGGAAGGAAAACTAAAGAGGATGGGCCAAGTTTATGGCTCACAGCTTCAAAAGCTTCATTGCACCATCAGTTGGCCCCTATGCTCTGTCCCATGGTATAGCAGAAGGCTGTTGAGGAACAGATTTTTTCTCCCTATGTCGGATAGAAAAACGGGTAAGAATAAGGGGTAGTGGATAGGACCCATCTCTATAGGGTGTGTCCCCAGTAACCGAATTCCTCCCACTAGACCCCACCTTCTATTTTTCACTATCTTCCAATAAAGAAATTATATTATAAATCCATCAGTAGTTTAATCCATTAAGTCAGGACCCTTAGGATCCAACCAGTTCTCCAAACACCATTGACTGACAGTTAATGCATAGCTTGTGGAGTATAGTCAGTCTCCTAGTTAAATATCAGTTTTTCATCCTATATTTGATGTCCAGAGGAAGGCCAGTTCAGTTCCTTGTCTAGTTTTCATGGAGCCTACTTAGTTTAGATCTTACAACTACCATTTTACCATGTCCCTTCTTGGGCCTCATAATCTTTTCCTCCTTTAGAGTTATTTTTTGTTGTTCAAGTCCTTAGCCTAATGGTCCTTCTACTGTTTCCTCTCAAACTGTTGGCAACTTTGGGTCAGGAAATCACTTAATTCTGTTGATCATTAGTCCAAAATCATTTATTTAACTTGTAGTGGGCTAATTTTCTGCCTGCTACTAATTTAATACTTTTTACTTAGTATCTGCCTTTCCATTAGATTGTACCAAAACTTCACCATGCTTGGATGACTTACAGTTCTACTGGTGTCTCACTCATCTTTAGTGTCTGTCCCATACTTGGTTGAGAATGTTGTGATTGTCTCCTAAACTAAGCCATGTAGTACACCTCTGTGATTCCCAGTTGCCTAGAAGTGGAGCCCTAATCTAGAGTTCAGCATTTAAGGACCTTCACTCCCTGTTCTCATGTCCTCCACGTTATTCTTCTCTACTATCATGTGACTGTCCTATGTGCTCATCTAGGTCCTGGTGTCCTTTCCTCCAGCATTATGAACACTGTTTGCATTTTGTTTTTCTGTCCTGGAAAGAGCTTTCTGTTTACTGTGTGTTATCAAGATGCCATCTATTTTGTGAGGCTCAATTAAGATGGCATCTTTTCTCTGATGTTGTCTCTGCCTCTGCCTTCAACCTCACGTCTCTGTTTTACAGACCTTAGCATACGCTGCATTAGTCTCTTCTGTACACAGCTTTCCGGCCATGCCCCCACAGAGAACACTTGAAGCATCTTTGCTCCTATTGCATCTACTCTCCTGACCTTTATGAAGCAGGAACTTAGTTTATACTGAACTAAAAGTTGTAGCTTTTCTACCTGGTAGGCTTCCATAGTCACATAGGTTTGAACAACACTGGCTTAAGTGAAATTTAAGCATTAAAAATTTTATACAGTGTTATTTAAACTTCCATGATTGTGAAACCTCATTTCTGTATAAGAAACCTTGGGAACTGCTTTGGTACATTAAAAGAAAGCAGTATCTGAAGAAACTGGTACAAGTGTGGTGCTTGTAAGTGGATCAGTTTTCTTCCTAACTGGTACTAGTAGCACACAGAGCTCTAATATGCCAGCAACATAGTATTTTACATGTGGCTACTTGTTTAGTACTCTTGGCAACTGATGAGATGAGGCACTCTGCCTAACTTCACAAAAGCAGTCAGTGGTAGACCTGGATCTTGACCTGGGCATTATGCACCAGAGTCCATGATTTCTGGTGAAATTCATTTAGCCCTTATCTACTTGGGGAAACTCAAAATACATCATGTATATGTCTGTCAGTCTCCAAAATGTTCTATAGGATACCCTCTCAATGCCTTAAAGGAATTCTCACTAGGCTCTAGTTCTTAAAATTTTACCTTTCCTCTCAACTCTACACTGCTGGGGTTCAAGACTTTAATATATGGGCCCAATAATACTGACTATCCAAACTGCATACTGTTGGTGTCACAGCACTATGAACAGTATCTGATGCGAACTGAGAAGTAACCAGTGTTTGTGGAGTGAGCTAATGAGGACAGCCATCTCAACCGTCTTTGCCATTTCTTTCAGAGTAATGGTAATGGTGTTTTCTTATTAGCGTAGACATTAGTAGTGAAAAACAGTGATAGCTTGTTCCTTTTGTTTCAGGGAAGTTGGGAAAAAAGAATCCTGAAGAGTTTAAATAGTATGTGCACTGAACTGAGTATCCCATTGGCACGAAAGGTAAATTTAGCATTTTTCTGCTGAGGTACCTTTATTGGGAGTTAACTACTGAAAAATGTCACAGAGTTTGTACAACTGTTAGGCTTGTTATCCCTCATTTACTGGTGTATCAGTTTTTTAAATGCAAACCTGTAAGTGCCAAGTGTTTGTTTATGTCTTATACATATTCTTACTTTATATACTTTAGTATTTGTTATAATGAACCTCTGCTATAGCCTACTTAGACGCTTGGCTGCTGTCTTAGTACTTTACTATTGTTGTGCTAAAACAGTATGACCAAGGCAGGTTATACAAAGAAGGGTTTATTTGGAGCTAACTGTTCCAGAAGGGTAGAAGCCATCACTGTCACGGTAGGGAAGCATGGCAGTAGGCAGGCATGGTGACTGGAGCAGCAGCTGAGAGCACAAGCAGGGATCAGAGAGCAAATGGGGAATGGTGCAAACCTTTGAACTCACAAAGCGCATCCCCAGTGACATACTTAGTTCAGTAAGGCCACATCACTTAACCTCCCCAAATAGCACCACTTGTGGGGGAATCAAGCATTCCAATGCCTGAGACTTTAGGGGGAATCTCATTCAAAGCTCCACAGCTGCAAAGAGTGAGTATACTTTAAAGATTTTAATGGCAGTTAGTCTTTGCACACGCTGAGTTAGTGAGCATAATAGTACTATCCCTAGAAGTCCATGACGACTACAGTCTTGTGGTTGACAATATGATGACATCTTCCAGTATTAGTATAAGGAACGACAAGAATAATATGCTGTATCTCTGCAGACATGGACTTCTATTTAGATCTAGTTCTTACTTAATGGTTGGAAAGGTAGGGAATGCGAGATAAATCTCCAGGAGTCTGTTCTAGATACTGCGGCTGCTCACAGGTGGGAGAGAATGAGCTTCCCTTTGCTTCCTTTTCTGCCCACCAGTTACCCTCCACTTTTGAATAGACCAGGAGCATATACTTTTGATGAGAGCCAAGGAGAAGCCACTGAAGGCATCTCCAGGGTAGGGTCTAGAAAAATCTTAGATGAAAACCTGCCTGAATGTGTATGATGTGCTACTGTCTTGCACATTGTAAGATCATGCTACTGAGTCAGTCCTATTTCCTCCGCCAGTCCTCTCTCTTGCCATGCATGTTTAAGCTTGCTGATGGAGTGAGACGTGTAGGATCTAGCTGAGGAGCAGGTAGTTCTGTGGGAGATTTACTGGCCAGTCTGACCTTTTACCTTCTCTTCTTGAACTCATTGGCACAAAGTTCTAACTAAGCCATCAAGACTAGATATGTTTCAGTCTTTTTAAAAGTTAATTTAGGCATAATTTAAGTTTTCCATGTTTAATTTGTTTCTCATATGCTATGATGCCTTATGTAATCCTTTGAATAAGTTACTGATTTTGGAACTAATCAAAAACATTTTTAGAGACCAGTTGGAGAACAGAAAGAACTTCTCAATAAATGGAATGAAATGGGAACTGATGAGCCAGGTATGTGAAGGATTTCCTGCAGGATTTGTCATTTTGACTGAAGTTACCTAATACTTCTTTTGGAGGCATAACAACTTTCCACATCCACTTCCCTGATGTCTGATTTGCTGGCTTCTAGTTTGTAGCTTAATAATTCCCAAGTTTAGACTTAGACAACATTATCATTTTTTTCAAATAGCATTTTAAACATTCTCTATAAAAATACATATAGAATATTTCTGTCCTCTCTTCTGTGATGTTTCATGAGCCTTCGGTATAGGACTTTTGTTAATAGATTTATCAATTGGGAGCAAGATTGTTAAAGACAGAGGACCAGGAGATCTGCTGTGAGATTGTGTCTTCTATATAGAACAGGGAAGCTCTACCCTGAAATGACAACAACATGGCAGGGTGGCCTAAACAAGACCTGAACAAAGCAACACTCGTTGCTATGCCACCATGAATGGGGAAAATCTCATGACGCCCCCACTCATGGAGGGAGGACTGTAGACGGTTAATATCTGCTGATAGAGGGAAAACTAGCCTTCCCTAGGAATGTTCCATGCAGCTATCCAATACCATGTGTTCAGTCCTTAAAACAGGCTGTGAGCAACACTGAATGGACTTGGTTGGTTGTGTTTATAAATTTATATGTGCATACATGGAACAACAATAATGAAAGAAAAAAGACCAAGAGAACACACATGAAATCAGAAGGAGGGCTTGGGGCTGGAGAGAGGGAGAGTGGCAGGAGGGGGGATGGTGATGGGGGACTGAAGTAATCAGAGTATGTTACATGCATGTATGAAACTTCATAATGAAGCCCATCAGTTTGTACAGGTAATAAATGCTGATGAAAATGAAAACAAGTAAATAAGATTCATTTAGTAGCTTCCTGAGACTTGTCTTTAGTTAAGATAGGAATTCTGTAAGCTTAATTATGCTGAGGTGCTGAGGAGATTAACCAAGGAAAAGTAAATGTCAAGAATTAAAGTGTTTTCAATTGTATTTTGTTTCACATTAAACTTAATATACAGTCAGATTTATAAACATACAACGAGTAACACATGTATATTGTAGATGCTGATTAACTATGTGGACAGATGCATACACGGCTGCCCCATGTCTTGTGGCCCCACTACTAAAGCTAGTCTGGGAACCAGGCAAGCAACATGTGATGAGAAATGTTTCCCCTGAGATCAGAAAAGTTCAACACAGGCGGAGGAATTCACTGAGAATGCATTATTTGTAGTTTAAGTACTTTGAAAATTCTCATATAGAATCTTTATATGAAACTATTAAGATCTTCTACAATATGTTGTTTAAGCTGTCAAGGACTGTGTTTTTATATCTGTGTTCCCAGTGTTTTACACAATGTACAGCAAATAATCAATACCCAATAAATATGTGATCCATTTCTATAGAAACATAGTAAAGTAACAGTGACATTAGTCTTTGTAATCACTTCATATATTGCCTAAAATTTTGTTTTACTCTAACTCATTCCAGATTTAAGCCTTTTTCGACCTGTTTATGCACCTAAGGATTTTCTTGAGGTATGTTTTATTGGATAGATATGTAAATATGATGGGTGTAATTGAAGGTTGTATATGACCCCAAATGGCTTGTTTTTAATCTTTTTTATTTAAATTAGAAACTGCTTGCTTCACATGTCAATCCCAGCTCGCTCACCCTCCCCTCCCACACTCCCACTAACCTTCTCCACCCCACCCCGAGTTCCCACTCTCTCCAGGCTGAGAGAGCATCCCTTCATGTGGAATGGACTCCCAAAGTTCGTTTGTATGCCAGGGATAAATACTGGTCTACTACCTGAGGCCCCATAGATTGCCAAGGCCTCCTCACTGACACCCAAATTTAGGGTGTCTGGATCAGTCTCATGCTGGTCTCTCAGCCATCAGTCTGGGGTTCATGAGCTCCCACTTCTTCAGGGCAGCAGTTTCTGTGGGTTTCACCAGCCCAGTTTTGACCCCTTTGCTCCTCCCTCTCTGCAACTGGGCTCCAGAAGTTTAGTTCAGTGTTTAGCTGTGGGTGTCTGCCTCTGCTTCCATCAGACACTGGATGAAGGCTCTAGGATGGCATATAAGGTAGTCATCAATCTCATTATCCAGGAAGGGCATTTAAGGTAGTCTCTCCACTATTGCTTAGTCTGCCAGTTGGTGTCATTCTTGTAGATCTCTGGAAATATCACTAGTACCAGATCTCCCCTCAAACCTATGGTAACTCCCTTTATTATGGTATCTCTCATTCTGCTCTCTTCTATTCTTCCCCTGACTCAACCTTCCTGCTCTCCCATGTCCTCTTCTCCCCCTCTCTTTTTCCCATCTCCCTGTCCCCTCCCCCCATGCTCCCAATCCACTCAGGAGATCCTGTCCCATTCCTCTTCTCTGGGGTACCATGTATATATCTCTCTTAGGGTCCTCCCTGTTTCCCAGACTCTCTGGCAGTGGGATTGTAGGCTGGCACTCCCCTGATCCATATCTAAAATCCATATATGAGTGAGTACATACCATGTTTGTCTTTTTGTGACTGGGTTGCCTCACTCAGGATGGTTTCCTCTAGTGCCTCAAATGGCTTTTAAACAAGAGTTATCATGTTTAGCAAGGACACCTATACAAAAAAACTAACCAGGCTTGTTGTTTATTTTTAAAGGTATTAATTAATCTCCGCAACCCAAATTATGAAAATGGTGATTCTCTTAGTTTTAGGACTCATTTGGGTTTAATTCAAGTTCCTCTGAAAGTAAAAGACATCCCTGAATTGGTAAGTATAGACATTAAAGAATAAATTAATGTATATTTGATGATAACCACTAGAAAAATAATTTAGTGCAGCATGTATCTGTTGTAATTAGAGTCATAGACACATTAAACATTATTAAAGTGATATCTTTATAGCTGGAAATATGTACATAGAAAGAGCAAGTTTGTATGTGGGAGTCAAATCAAGTTTATGTTGACCTATAATTGCTTTGCCCATTATTCCAATAAAGAGTAAAAATTACGAGAGAATTTGTGGGGACTCAGGTTCTGATTGGAACAAATCATAAGATTATAAAAGGATATTTAAGAAAGCACGTGTTATTTAGTTTAGCCACCTTTCCTGGAGCCCTGAACCTGGTGAGACACTAAGAGAAATTGCATTTGCCTTGGAGCCCATCATTTCCGGTAGGCATTGGCTTGAAAATGAATTGTGAGATTTCCTGATGGTGAAGCTAAGCTGTCACTACTCCTTCTTTGTGACTCATCCTGAAATAATAAAGGACACATCATTGTCACCGTGTCTGTGCTGAAACTCCGAAGTTTAGACATGGAGAGGTCGTGGTAAATAACCTAAAGTCAGAGAGGTCAGAGCAGATGGGAAGGGTGGATGTGAGGTGCGCAGGAACTTTCCACTCTGATCTGCTGCATTACGCTAGATCTGCAGTATTTTCCTTTCAACAGCTCGCCTCGTGCTATCTTGTCAATAAAGGATGATTTTGGGGGGACATTTGAAAGGCTCCAGCAGGAGAAAGTTGCCTCCTTTCTGGTTCCTATGTATAGTAATGTCTGCCTCCAGCTCCAACCTGCTCCTCGTGGCATTTTTTCCCGCCGTCCTTGGATTTGCTCATGGCCTTGAGCACTGGGAGGACCCTTTTCTGATTTCATACTTCCTTTTCATTTGTGCTCCTAGAAGCCACAGTTGCTCTCTGCATTTGCTACTTCTGTTTTTCCCTCTTGACATCTGTGGCATGCCCTTTCCTTCTTAAGTAGATATTGACTGATAAAAGAAGCAACATGGCTTTCTTCATAGAACCTGGAGAAGGCTCAAGGATCAGAGACCGCATGAGTGCTTGCCATGGCAACCTATAGGGCCGAGAACGGAGAACGGAGACTCTGTGAAAGACTGTGGGGTGGAGCTCCTACCCACTCTTCAGTCACATGACTCTCCCCACCCCCATAGGAGTCCAGAGGCACATTCGCCAGAGATACAAACTCAGAGTAGCTATTAACTCAGAACCCTCTGATGTATTAACAGGGACCAAGTGAAAGTCTATGCAACAGTGAGACTGCTATTCTTATCTCTGCTGCTATGCTTTCTGAGCCTCTGCCCACTCTAGAACACCAGAAAAGCTAGGGAAGATGTGGAGAATAAAGCGGGTTGCCTGGCTACAGAGCTGTCTAACAGAATGTCCCACCAGTCTAGGGAAGTCTCTGCTGCATGGCTCCCAATCACATTTTTTATTGCTTTATTCCCAAGCTTGAATGATGAACTTAAAATCCCTAGATTTGAAACTGCTGCAGTTCAAGAGCATGGGGCAGTGAACTCAGAGACCAAAAGGAGAGGGGGATGGGACTCGAAAATGAGAATGAATGAGTATGAAAATATGAATTTATAGAATGACCACTAGTAGGTGTTGTAGATGTTTAAGGTTTGTGGTTAGAGTGACAAGAAGAGAATAGGCCACAACTTGGCCCCATACTAACTTCAATTTATAGAATGATACAAAACAGAAAACAGACATGCCAGTGTTCCAGCAAAAATATATTCTCTTGGTAATCTCAAACTCTGGCTTCCATCTTGGATTGGTCTATTTCAGGTCTTGGTAGAATATTTTCCTTTCTATTGTTTTCTCTTCATTGCCATTTCTGGAAATTCCCCTTCTCTGTGGTTAGAATAGTATGTACTGGGCAAAATAACAATTACAGATTCTACCCTGTGACCTATGATCTCGCAGTCATGGATTTTTTTTTTTTTGGTTTTTCGAGACAAGGTTTCTCTGTGGCTTTGGAGGCTGTCCTGGAACTCACTCTGTAAACCAGGCTGGCCTCAAACTCACAGAGATCCACCTGCCTCTGCCTCCCGAGTGCTGGGATTAAAGGCATGCGCCACCAACGCCCAGCTGCAGTCATGGATTTTGACAAGGATTATAGTACCAGACATGCTAGTCCCTCTTGTGAAGTGGGCTTCAAGCCCAGTCAGAAGTGGTTAGTTACACCAGAACAGTCATGCCTCTATTGCACCAGTGGGCACATCTTGCCTGCTAGGTCAGAATTGTAGCATGTAACATGTAGTATGGCTACTCCTCATCTGACTAGTCCCTGCCACCCGTATACTGTGTCAGGGTGATTCTGATTCTAAGTGATTGGATTATGTAGATTCTTCCATGTTACAAGGAAATTTCTTGAAATAGTCAACTACTAACTCTAAAGAGAATTTGTGATTAGTTTAGTGGAGCAGCCAGATAGGACTAGACACTGGTATACAGTATTTGCTGGGTCAGGTGCTTTGATAGGTACTGGGGAGCTCATTACTAAGAGACAGTCATCATCTTTAAAGGACGGCAGGCTATTAGAGAATGGACAGTAGAAGAACAATTATAGTATAGTACAGTATGTGTAGTGTAGTATAGTGTATAGTATATAGCATAATATAGTATAGGTAAAGACTGAGAAAAGATAATATATTGAGAGGTCCTTTTGTTAGCCTGGAATAGCAAGGAAGGCTTCTGAGGAGGCATGCTCCCTATGATCAGTTTTGATGGAAATCTGAGAATCTGCTAATGTTGAATGAAAAATAGTCCAGAGCAATGGCATGGAAAATGGACATCCAGATCTCCCATGTCATAAGTAAAATTCTTCATTTTGATTACAGGACCTAGTATTTAAGTGTGTATTGGCTGTAGATTTGTGTTTTAGTGTCCAGATCAATGCTATTCTTAAACTGAGATATATAATCATTAACAGAGGAAGAAGAGTCCTAAAATACATGGAAGACAGTGGTTGAAGGGAAAGAATCGTGAAACTCACCAACCTACATAACAGATAATTTGGAAAATTAAAATTAACTGAAATTTAAAAGCGAGGGAAGTATGGCTCACCAATCAGAATAGTTATAATGTGCTGAGCAACTATTAATAGAAATATTTGATTACTTGTAGAATAATGTGATTAATATGTGGTTTTCTAGTTTACAAAATACAGCTGTGATTATTGTCCTACAACATTACCAGATGAGTGAAGGAAGTCCTATGAATAATTGTAATTCATCCTTATTTTAGCTGAACACTTAGTAATTCAGTTTGGCTCAAAAGTGAACTTGTTTTGGATATTTTTGGTTTGGCTTCTTAACATTAGAGTAAGATGCCAAATCATAGAAAATACAGAGAGAAGTTTGTGTTGATAATTTTGGACAATGGTGTTAGACAAAATTGCTAAGTATGATGTGATTGAGTGACTCTGTGTACGTGTGTGTGTGAGGGGGGCTGCGGTGTGTGTGTGTGAGGGGTGTGGTGTGTGTGTGTGAGGGGGGCTGCGGTGTGTGTGTGAGGGGGTGCGGTGTGTGTGTGTGAGGGGTGCGTGTGTGTGTGTGTGAGGGGGGCTGCGGTGTGTGTGTGTGAGGGGGTGCGGTGTGTGTGTGTGAGGGGGTGTGGTGTGTGTGTGTGTGAGGGGGGGTGCGGTGTGTGTGTGTGAGGGGGGGTGTGGTGTGTGTGTGTGAGGCGGGGTGCGGTGTGTGTGTGTGAGGGGGTGCGGTATGTGTGTGTGAGGGGGGTGCAGTGTGTGTGTGTGAGGGGGTGCGGTGTGTGTGTGTGAGGGGGTGCGGTATGTGTGTGTGAGGGGGGGTGCAGTGTGTGTGTGTGCTTGCTTGCTTTAGGAAAGGTTAGAGCATTACTATGCCTTTACCCAGAAGGATAGGTATCATTTCTTGCTATGCTGATTTGTGGGTTATCTAAAGAGGCAAAATCAAGAAAAAATATTTTTGAAGAATTCAGTGCCAGAATTCATACTGACCAAAGTGTTCAAAGTGAAAAATTGTAGAAAGGAAAAAGTGATGAAAGAAAAATATTACCAAGAGTCCTGCACTGGGAAAGTACTGTATGTTTAAGTTTCTTTTCTCATCATGTATACTAATTTATCCTAAATGCTGTGGACTTTCTAGTCATGTTTATTTCACATGAAAATGATGCCTAGCCATATCTGAAGTACACAGCTGTGGTTATCCTGTTCCTCAATGTCTATTACTGTTCTTTTAGTTTTTAACATTTGAATGAAACAGATTCATTTTACATGTGATTTTTTCACTTGTTAATGAAGTAACCTTTTCACATGCACTAGAGTCTGAGATGTGTGCTAATTCTTTATATGTTATTTTTCAGAAAGAATGCTTTGTAGAACTTGGCTTAAATACAGGACAACTGGGTATAGATGATTCTACACAAGTGCCTCCTGGTTAGTATTTCTCATGTGACATTTAATTAGTGACAAGTAATAGCTTCCAAGTCTATAAGTCATCTGTGTGCAGATCAGTGGATTACAAAGTGGACACACTGTGTGACCTCCAACCCAATCAAGAAACAGCATATTACAATAGCGTAGAAGCCCCCTGGGCACAGGTACAGATTCTGCCATCCCCCCAGTTTCTGCCTGAAACATCATAGGGCTAGTGTGGCTTGTATGGAATCATTTGCTGTATCCACTTATATCTGGTTTCTTCAGCTTATTGCTGTCTATAAGATACATAGTGTTATGGAGAAAAATTATTCATTTCATTTTTTGTATTGTGATCCACCATATGTAAATACTGCTGTCTATCTTGTCTCTTGTCAATGGCCATGTGAGTTATTCCCACCATTTGGTTGTCATCAGTGGTCTTGCTGTGAATATTTTTTGACATTTTAGGGCATATACCTGAGAGTGAGCTGATAGTTATCATATCATGTGCACCTGCACAATGTCAGTAGATAGTGCCAGTTTTCCAACATTATCTTGCCAGCTTACACTTTCACCAACTTTGGATGAGAAGTTCATTTGCTCAATGCTCAGTCTTTTTGTTTGTTTTTTGTTTGTTTGTTTCTACCACTGTGTTGGCTCCATGTTTTCTATTGGTTCTAATTGTTTTCTCTGATGACTAATGTGATCAAGCAGCTTTATAGCATTGTTGGCTTATTTGTGTCTGGCAGTTGCTTCTTTCTGTAAGGCTGTCTGTCTTTCTTCATAAGTTCTGGATACAAGCCCTCCGCCACATACACGTTACAAATACATTCAGAAACTTACCTTGTTAAGACTCCTGTGATGGTGTTCTTTCTTTTTTGTGAACAGAAGTTTATTTTAATATGCTGTAGTTAATGAGTCTGTTTACAATATGGTTGATACTTTTTTAAAGGCAACTGTTCCAGTGAAAGCCTTTAAATAGCATTCACAAGGCCAAGCTTCTACACAGGAGGCAGGCTGTGCTTACACAGACTTTGATGCTCGAGTGGAGTGGAAATTGGACTTTATGAATGAAGCTGCTCACAATGTTGTTGGGTTTTTAACTCAAAGAATTTTTCTTGAGAGTTTTTAACTAATTATTTTGTATTATTCATGTGGTGTGTGTGTCCTTCTGTATGTATGTGTCTATGTGATTGTATGATTGTGTGTGTGTGCCTCGATATGTATGTGTCTGTGATTGCGTGTGTGTGTGCTTCTGCATGTAAGTGTCTATGTGATTGTGTGACTATGTGTGTGCTTCTGTATGTAAGTGTCTGTGTGACTCTGTGACTGTGTGTGAGGGTGCCTGGAGAACTGGAAGTAGGCATTGAATTCCTTGGAGCTGGAGTTGCAGGTGGTTGTGAGCAGGTCTCATGGCATCTTGAGAGAGTAGTAACAGCTCCTAACCCTGGGCCATCTCTCCAGCCACTGAAATGATATTCAAAACAATCTTTCTTTGAATTTTTTCTGAATGTACAGAAATATTTCTGTATAAGAATATATTCTGTTTTAACAAAAGAAAGCTTAATTTGTCCATTTTTGTTTCCCAGTTAAATATATGAACTCACTTTTTACAGTTTAGGTAAAGGCTTTCTACATTTGGGCCTCTTATTCCAGTTTTCAGAGCTAGTGTCGTGGTGTGTGTAGTGTGTATAGTGTGTACTGTGTGGTGGTGTGTGTAGTGTGTGGTGGTGTGTGTAGTGTGTGTGTAGTGTGTGGTGGTGTGTGTAGTGTGTGGTGGTGTGTGGTGGTGTGTGTAGTGTGTGGTGGTGTGTGGTGGTGTGTGGTGGTGTGTGTAGTGTGTGTGTAGTGTGTGTTGGTGTGTGTAGTGTGTGGTGGTGTGTGGTGGTATGTGTAGTGTGTGGTGGTGTGTGTAGTGTGTGGTGGTGTGTGTAGTGTGTGTGTAGTGTGTGGTGGTGTGTGTAGTGTGTGTGTAGTGTGTGGTGGTGTGTGTAGTGTGTGGTGGTGTGTGGTGGTATGTGTAGTGTGTGGTGGTGTGTGGTGATATGTGCCTTGAACTTAGAAGGCTGAGACAGCAGGGTTGTGAGCTTAAGGACCACAGGCTACTTAGTGGGAGTAAGACCAGCCTGGGCAGGACAGTTCTGTCTCAAATAAACAAACAAATGAATTCTTACATTTTCTACATAGTTATCCAACTTTAAAAATAAGTATCAGTACTGGGAAGCATAATTCTTACTCTAAATGTAGTTGATCATATTTGCATCTAATAATTTTATTTTCTGTTAACATTTTTAGAACTTTTTGAAAATGAGCATGTGCGTATTGGGCAAAAAGGTAGGTTTTGTCAGGTTATTAAAATCTATTTAAAAAACAAGACAGCACTGGGTAACTGTCAGCATGAAATAGCCTCAGGTGAAATTTATTCTCTGTAAAGTGAAGCACTGGAGAGTCATAATATTTAACCAAGCAGGTAATCTAACCGGAATCTTTATTGAGAAGCAAATACAGCATGTTAGCTGTCTCGGTCAGTATAAATTAAGCACACAGCTGGCTCGCTAAACAGGAAGCACAGCCCCACATTTGTCAGCTACATGAGAGACGAGCCTCTGCCCAGAATTTCATGTCCCAATCAAGGAGGCAGTTTCTCCTTAATGCACCGACACACCTCTCATTAGTGCTAATGAGGACATGCTCCTGCATCAGGAGAGATGGAGCTCTTAAATCCCCCTGACAGCTCACAGTGATAAGGCTTAATGAGCTTGGCAGGTCTCCATATCTTGGGGGAACAATTGCCCATCTTTTGGGCACTCTTTTTCTTGTTTTTAAATCCTTTATTGTCTTTGAGGTGCAAAGAAGGCTGTGTGTCAGACGAACCATCTCTAACAGTCGTTGTCATGTACCAATGTCCCTACTTCTGTTTTTCAGTCATCTTAATTTCAAAGACCTCTTTTGTAGGCTTGGCCTCTTTCATTAGACATTCAGATAAAGAATGCTCTTTTAAAAATTATTATGCTTCCCTTGTCTCTTTTCATCATATCTTTTTCATTTCGTGGAAAATTTCCTCTTCCATTTGAAAGGATGCAAGAAAATGATGCTGTTAGATAAGCATTGGATGCATAATATGTCTCATATTTTGTTTGTTTGATTTTATTTTGTGGACTCTATTTTCAGGTTGAATAGCTCATATTTTAATTAAAGAAAATAAGAATAAAAGCAAAATGATACTATACTGATTTTTATAAGGGTGCTTAATGATATTTTTGTTGAAAGTTTATTAGTCTTTGTTTTGTATTTCTTTTCCAATCTGACTTTTAAAAAAATTCTTCAGAACTAGGAAGTCATTTGGTATAGTGGGTGTCTTAATTTCTTACACATTATTCTTGGGCATGTACTGCATGTGCGATGCTGCTTCCCAATAACAGAAGCTCCATGACTTGGAGGCATGCATTTATGAAAGCTGTGGGTTCTGAAGATGAGGCTCTGCTTGGTCACAGAAGCCAGACACCAGTGTCATCAGTAGTTGTAGATATGGGGGAAAGCACAATGATCCTAAGGTGTCAGTGTTGAAAGCTTTGGTCAGGCCGAGCAGCCAAGGGAGGTCAGACCTGAAGCCTTCGGGCTGTAGTAGGGCCATCTCAAAACCCAGAGAGTGAAGGAAGAAAAAGATAGATGCATGCAGAGGCTGAAGTTTCGCTTCCCGAAAGATTTCTACTGAAAGATTTCCGAGGTGCTCCTGGCATCGTGAATTTTCTAACAGGATTATCACATCCATTTGACAGTTCTAGTGCAGCAGGATAGCGCTGCTGCCCAGCAGTACATCCGACAAGGAAGTCCCACAGCACTGAGAGCTGAGCTCTGGGCACTCATTTTGAATATCTCCAGTCAACCTGAGGTAAGAAGCAAACAGGAGGGATCAGATTGAGTTGTTCAGTTTGTTTTCTAAATACCATTTTTTTTCAAAGCAGAGAGCTGGTAAGTAGTTTGTTTTTCACCCTGCTTTTTGTTTCCACTGTTGTTTTAAGTTAAGGCAGGGTTTACCACCGAACTTAGACAGTATGCTCAACAGACACTTTCGTTAGTAAATAGTGTGATCGTGCATATGTGCGGTAAAACAAAAAGTGAAATTTTAAGAGCTCAGGTCAGTGAAGATGTCACAGACTGGGATGTTATAATAGCAAGTAATGAAGAAGAGCAGCTGAGAATGTGTGAGTTCTTTGTGGTGTCTTATTTATTTGGTTGGTTTTTTTGAGGTAGGTTTTCATGTAGCCCATAGCTTTAAAATTCATCTAGGCAGCTGAACTCCTGATGCTCTTGTCTCTGTTTCTGAAAGTGTTGGGATTATAGGAATGCACAACCACACTTGTGTTTTGAAATGTGTGCTATTCCCATGATTCTAAAATTTGGCAGATAATGTGGGACTATTATTTTTCCAAATGATGATCATTTTTTCAGGAAATACAATGAATATTAAAGGAAGTGGCCAAATAACTAACAGATAGACCATGGATTTTTTTGTTTTCTAATGTTGGCCTTCATGCATGCAAAGCAAACCCTCTACCAACTGAATTATATCCCCAGCCCAGGTCATAGATCTGGTAATGAAAACCTGCATAAGGCATTGACTTCTCTTAGAATATTCTCACTGTGCAAACATATGTAGTCACCTGTGTATATATATATATTTGTAAATTCACCCATTTAAAGATTTTAAATTATTGTCACACTGATAGTGTACCAGGTTCTAGATTATATAAAGCTGGTTTAAACTCAGAGTTCCTTCAACTTATGGAACACATGTACTGCTGAGCAAATTGCTTAAATTTCTTCAAGCCTCAGTTAACCTGCACGTACACATAGGTAATAATATTTGTATCACAGAATCGTGACAAATATACAAAGAGTAACATATATAAGTATATTACATAATAATGGACAAAAATGTTTGCCACTAATGGCAGTAATCAATTAATATTACCTGTAATTATGTTACAGATTAATTGTAATTAACCATTCTGATAACAAAATAAAACACTAATGTATATTATAAAAATTACATGTCTAACCCTTGGAAATTATGTCTAGTGTATGTGTGTATATGTGTATGGTGAGTGTGTTTTAGTCTCCATCTGTGAACAACACTGTCAGCATCTCTTATTTGAAAGAATAAAGCTGATGATTTATGCAGAGCATTTACATCTGAGATAGTGCTATCTTGGCAACCCTTTGGAGATAATTGTTTACAAAACAGATTTTTTTCTGTTAATATGCTCTTCAAGAAAACATAATTCTTTACTGGATTTAAGTTTCCAAGTAACACGCCACTCTCACTACTGTGGAGTTAGATAAAATCTGTTCTCTGTGCAAAGCAATTGCTACCTTTTCATAACTAAATTTAGGATTTTCCAAAAAATATCACCTTAATAATGACAGATAATGATTGTTTTTCTCAGTATTCCAAGCTGATTTTTACATTTGAATTTTGAAGTTGTAACCATTTAAAAATTAAATTAAAATGCCAAATCTATTTAATATTTATAATTGGAAGCTAGTATTTTCAGAAAAACACTAGAGAATAAACGTTTTCAAAATAACTGTTACACGTAATGCATTGAGGGTGGGGTGGGGAAAGGAAAAGGGGGAAATACTTTTTGATAAATAAATTTTCTATCACTTAAACTACATATCTAGTTACAGACATACTTGAAAGTTTAGACACATAAGCAGAATATTCAATTTTATTCCTCTAAATCTATACTTTAGAAGTTTGGTTCAACTCAGTGTATTGTCTTTGAATGTTTCCAGTAAATGAAAGCTACTCTAAAATAAAATTTTATTGAGATGTTTTAGTGTAAAAACCTTTGACATAAAACTTTGAATTCTTGTTATTTAATATAGTATATTCAAATAGAAAATTATTTAACTTTGACTTCTTGCTTTTTAAGAAAATAGGTGATATGTTTTAAAGGATTGCTTTTATAGGCTCATTTTCTATACATCTCCATGTGTGTCACAATGTATTTAGTAAATGTTGTTCATGTTTTAAATGTGCTTGATAGTAGTTTGTGAACTAAAAACACAAGCTTTTCTCTATTCTGTTCACTGATGAAACAACAGACACTTTATAAGGTTTCCTTTAACTGCTGTGTGTGTGTGTGTGTGTGTGTGTGTGTGTGTCTGTCTGTCTGTCTGTCTGTGTGTCTGTGTGTCTATCTGTCTGTCTGTGTAGGGATGCTGGGCATTAAACCCAATACTTCATACTTGCTGGGGCAGGTGAACTTCCCTCTCCATGTGGGTTTTAAGTTTTTGGTGTTCTGTTTCTTCTCATTTACACATTTAGTAACCCTCCTTAGCTCCTGCAGCTCCTTTCAGTTATCTTGGACTGACAGTCTTGGTGGGTCTTCCTGGAGGTTCAGATAGGATTGTGATGCACGTGAACATCTCCAAAGCACCTCAGGTTCAAGAGTTCTTCTGAAGTCTTTGTATGACTACTGTCTATCAAAGTGCCCAGAGGAAAGGCTAGTGTCACTCTTTTCTTTCTACCTGAATTTCACATCGTATTCATCTGTAATTCCCTCTTGACTCAGTTCCTCCATGTGTTTGAAATGTATGTATTTCTCTCTCTAAGTATTTCTACCATTCCATTTCAAAATATTATCTTCTTGTGCCTGGATTCAAACAGTCTGGTTTCCAGAATGCAGCCTTGTTCCCTACAAATACTTTCAAACATCCTTTCTCTAATGACATCTGATATCACTGCCTAGCCTCCTACCCTGGCACTGTCTTTTTTTCTAGACAGGGTATATCCCTGACTGTCCTGGAACTCATTCTGTAGACCAGACTTGACATAGAGATCCGACTGCCTCTGCCTCCCTAGTGCTGTGACTACCACCAGACTATCTCTGCCCTTTTCCTTAAAACATCTTAAACCTTTTCTTTAAGATTCCTTAACATACCCCATTTTTCTCTGATCTTTGCATATGGCCCATATGGCAAGCAAACAAAGAAACACTTGCATCCTCCCATCCCGCCATTACAGGCTGTGGTACTCCAAGTCTGTTATGTCCCTTTCTCCAGAAAGCCTGCCTGGCACCCACACTGACATTCGAACTTCCTCACTAGTTATTTAACCAACAAATATATACGTGGTACTGTCTGTTCTGAGTGCTGTGGCAAAAGAAAAAAATCATACCTAGCATACAAAAAGATGGCCAGGAAATATGTGTTGAATTACTGGATCCTAATTTAAAACTTGTGTTACTTTTAAAATTTTGTGTGTGAGTAGGTGTTTTGTCTGCATGTATGTCTGTGTACTAGATGCCTGCAGCGTGCTGGGAGGCCAGAAGAAAACCTTGGATCCCCTGGCACTGGAGTTTATAGCCTGGTGTTTCAACCAGAATCCTCTGGAAGAGTAGAGGGCCTCTAAGTGCTGAGCTATTACTCCAAACCCCAACTTATTTCATTTTTGAGAAGTCTCATGACAGACATATTCATTGACATATTAGTATGGCTATCGTTGTGGCCACCAAGTCCTTCTAAGAGAATGTTGTCCAAGTGAGATGAGCAAACACGACTTCAGGAAGAGTTGTGTCCCAGTGCAGCCGTCCCTTGGCATAGCCCTGACATCTCTCTGTTCTAAGAATAAAAGTAAAGTGTAGATTCTGTGTCTTTTGTAGCTGTCTCCTGATCCTCTTTCTTTTCAAAACTGCATCTTGAGCAAAAGTCTCTGCTGTACTGAATTTCATGAATGACTTACATTAACTAATATGATGAATTGCTTTATTTAATAAGTTACTCAGTCTGTCATAGTCTAGAATATATTCCCACTGCATAGCAGCAAATATCCTACACAAGTCTCTAAGGATCACGGGACATACTTTAATTCTTATGGCTGCTGTACTTAATACTATTCCAAATTTTGTCCTTGAATAATCTACGTCTTCATTTTAATTTACCTTTTCCTTTAATTTGCCTTTTTCTATTTTTTCCCTCTTTTCATGGGAGAGTAGGGCTTCTTGGAAGGCCATGAATAGTTACCTCTTCCTCTTCTACTGCTCTGAGACAGCAGAGAACCTAAAAACTGGATTAATAGATGTATTTAAATCTTGAAGAACTACAATAGTGTGGAACATAGAACTTACTTTTAACTTACTATTGAATATTTAATTTTGGATAATGATGTATTTGTATATGGTGGTCTACATTACAATAAAACTCGTTGCACAATGGCAATTCTAGAATAGGGTATCTTACCTCACCTTCTAAGAAATTTATCTGAACTTGTACCTTTATCATATGATTTACAAAATAGCTTTGGGCTGGAGAGATGCTCAGCAGTTAAATGCACTGGCTGCTCTTCCCGAGGATCCAAGTTTGATTCCCAGAGCCCTCGTGGTATCTTAAAAAAACTGTCTGTAACCCCAGTCCCAAGGGATCCAATACCCATGGGCACACACATGGTGCAGAAGCATAAATGCAGGCAAAACACCCATACACATACAATTCAAAACTTCTTTTAAGTCTTAGTTTAACTTTTGGAGTTTTTGTGAAGTATGATAACTTGTCTATCTAGACTCTTTCCATAGCTCTATCTTGAAGAGATAGCATATTAAATGTTCAAAACATTTTAAATAAAATATACTAAAGGTTAAGCATTTGTTTAGCTTAGTGATATGGCAATTAAAATAATTAAAAGCAAAGTACAAAATATTTACTTATATAATTATACTTCTGTACACAGAAGTTTTGGTATATACCAGTATCCATAAATTATTATAATTTATTTTGTGTGCTAGTGGGTACTAAAATCAATGTGAAGGTGCTATTGTTATCATTTTATGAAGCTTTCAGAAACTTCTTAATTTGCTTATTAGAAGAAGCCAATATATTTTAACTGCATAATGAAAAGAACGTGAATTTGTTTTATGAAGCATTTTTATATCTAGCCTGTGATGTTGCAGTTTTATGGACAGATGAGCTTCTGAACCAACATGACCTTGCTTTCAGTCAGTCACCTGGCATTTTGTATTTGCTGCTTTATTGCATAGTATTTTATCACTTGTCTAATTTTAGCCAATTCAGTTAGTTCACAAGATTACTATGTAATTATATGTCTGGGATTGTTGACTATTCTGAATAATTGAGCTCAGTTAAATTTTGCTTTGTGCTTAAATTTTTATTCAATGTATTTGAATATATATTTCTTCATAGAGATATCTGATCCTAAAATTAATATTTTAATGATTACTCTTATTAAGATATTTATTACTTTTTAGCAGTGGCCAGAAAAAGCATGTAATTAATTGATAATAAAAAGCATTACAAGTACAATTGCATATAAATGTTGTTGGATATAGCAACTAAAGTAAAAATCTCTGTGAGTATTTATAATTCGTAAGTAATAATGCAGAATAATTCTTTCAGTGTATAATACCCATGGAAATAATTCCTATAAATGACTGAATTTCATTCATTTATAAGTCAGGGTACATATGAACAAAAAGTTTTAAACAAGTTAAATATTAATAGTGTAAACTCGCTGAACCTTTTCAAAAGCACTGTTTTCTCAGATGTCACCAGGACTGCGTTTCTCTCTGACTCATATAAGTCCTAGGATAAAATGCAATATATTACTAATAATTTTCAACTGCTGAACTGTCCCCCTCCAACAGGAATGGTCATCTTCTCTAACTACCCATACACTGCAGATGGCCACTGAGGGAGGGAAAAGACAGCCTGTCCTGTTCAGCTTGGATCAACTGAATTCCCACTGGCGGGGCACTGAGTGGTGGGTGGCACAGCTACTGGGCCTCCAAATCACGTACATCAGCATAGTAATAGAGAACAGCAGCAGTCAGTGCCTTGAGGCTGAGAGTAAATCCCACAGCCGTTTCGAAGCAAATCTTGAAATGAAAGTGCTGAGACTTAAGACTGTTCCCTACATGTAATCGGAGTGCCAGTTGATCAGCAGTTCTATAGAATCGGCATGAGGCTGCAATTGTACCACTATACAGCATCATTTTTAAGGCTCTAGCCAATGTTGTAAGATAGGAACATGAACTGATTTATGATCAGAGGAAGAAGACACAGCCATATTACCTACAAATGGTATGATCATGGTTAAGTACCTAGAAACCAAAGGAAAAATACTATAATTAAAATATTTTAGTAAGATATATAAAATATTTAAAAATTGGTTGCTTTTCTTCATATTATCAATGACAACTTGAAATACAGAGAGAAACACCTGGTTTATAATAGCAGGACCATGAAAACATTTAATATAGAGAGGAGGAGAGCCCTGGAGCTCATATGAGGAAAATAGTGCACACAAAAGAGAGAGAAGAGTAAAATCTGACCCTTGGGGAACCTGCCAGGCACCATCATGAGTTTATGGCATGTATCTGTTTTCCCTCACAGCAACCCTACAAAGAAGGTGCTGCTTTCATTTCGCTGAAGCCCACAAAAGCTTGTGAATTTGCCTTCCATGACTAGGGTCTTCATTGTATTCTCGCATGGGATGCCTTAATATCATGAAACATCACTTTTTTCCAAAACACATATTTTGGAAAATCTCTTTTCTTTTTAACCAGGTGTAGTTACCTTAAGGTTTTTGTGGAGGTTAGATGTCTAAGAATAACCAAATGCATTACTAAAGAAAATGGAGTGGTGAGTTAATAAATAGCTCTTGCTCTATAATTTTACTTCAGTTGCAGTGCTGATACTGATAATTACCAGTTACACTAGCAGACACAATAATAAGTTCTGTGCTTGGCCAGCCAGTGGTGGCACACACCTTTAATCCCAGCACTTGAGAGGCAGAGGCATGCGTATTTCTGTGAGTTCAAGACCAGCCTGGTCTACAAGAGCTAGTTCCACAACAGCCTCCAAAACCACAGAGAAACCCTGTCTCAAAAAATCAAAAAGAAAAAAAATAAGGCAATGCACAGATATTTGAGTGAAACATTAGCAGTTTTTCAAAAAAACTATTTGCATGAACGTGGTGTGGAAGCCTTTCCTAATGCAAGGAAACCCAAAGCCACTAAGGACATTCAAGGAATTGTCAGTGTTTACCATAAAATTCAAGCAATGTGTTATTTTGAAGAAAAGTGCTTAAACACGGTGACAGAAGATTGGTTCTCCTTCTTAATGAAGAGTCCGATACATTATAGAGAGAAAAACCACCTAATGGACAGACAGATTAATACTGTGAAGGGCGAATCCCCGCTATGGAAATGAACACAACAATGAAATATCATTTCTTATTTATGACATAGTTTATAGAGGCATAGGTGTAGATAAAATGTTACCTTGTTTTGCTGGGGGAATTTTGAATTTGTATTGTTCCTAGAAAATAGTCAAGCCTGAGGTGTGTAGTTTCACTCTGCAGCTCTGCTTTCCCATTTATCCTACAGACAGAAAAGCATAGTGTAGGAAGGGATTTATTGCAGCATTATTCATATGGACAAACTGCTTAGAGACAGCCCGAGTCTCCATTTATAGGGAAGTGATTTTAAAATTGTGATCTACAAGACTTAGAGCAATTGAACTGGGACTGACCTGGAGGCCTTCTCCCAAGGACCAGCTCTCATAGTCACAGGTGCTTCACAAGCTGCCAACAGTAGTCCTGCCCAGCTGTAAAGCCTTGAGCCACGACATTGACCAGTCTGTGGCTTTGGACAGTGAGTTAGTGTTCTCTCTGGACCTAAGCTCCTCAAGTGTGTGTGCCGATAGTTCTCCCTGTGCTATTTACTTTGTAAAAGGAATCATAAGATGTACCTCTTTCATAAATATTATATTCATTATTATAGTTAATCAATTTAGCCAATATTGATTGAATACCCATTAGGTACCAATGATGGAAATAGGCATATTATTAAACATCTACTGTTACTTAACTATCATTGCATAGTAATGAATAAATGGATTATGAATAGAGCAGAGTACCTATTAATGGCTATAATTGTATTATTTTCATTTATTAAGGTTTGAAGCTGACCTTATAAACATTAAATTTTTGTACATTACTTTTAAATGTAGGACATCCTGTATTATGAACAGCTTAAGACCAATGTGATACAGCATGACCTTTTGGTGGACAGTCTAATATATAAAGTAAGTAAAACTATCATGGTTTTTCATTTTCATCGATAGCATTTACAATGAAGAGTTTTCTCTCTTCAGCGCTTGAACTGTGGGCAAAAGTACATATTAAACTTGAAAAAGAATTTGAGTGGCTGTGTGGTAGTGCATATCTGTGATGCCTGTACCCTGAAGGCAGAGAAAGGAGGACCAGGAGTTCAAGGTCTCACTTGGCTTCATAGTGAGTTTGAAACCAACCTGGGCTTCGTGAGACCCTGTCTCAAAAAACAAACAAACAAACAAAAAGACAGCGAGGAAGGAAATAACTGGGGTGATGGTTGTTCCTGTGATGCTGAGGCTGGCTCCCCTAGCTTGAGGTCTGTATGCAGTGTCCTCTTTCCTGGGGAACTGTTCTTGTAGTCTCTCCCCAGACCCTCCATGTTTGCACGAGGAGAAAAAGCATTGGCCATCTTAAATTCAAGTCTTTCACGAAAAGAAAAACAACTAGCATTATTTTGTCTATTTGTCTCATGATTATTTAGGGCTTAGTTGTATATTTTCTTTGTAATAAAGCTATTATAAACATTTTAAATTATATATGTGTGTCTTCATGTGGGAGTGTGTACCTGAGTGCAGGTGCCCCTGGAGTTACAGTTGTAAGTTGTCTGAAAGGAGAAAACTTGAGTCTTCTGCAAGAACATTACAGTACTTGGCCACTGAATATCTCTTCAGCCACATTAAAAAAAACATTTTTCTCAGCTGACCTCAACAAAGTGCTGCTCTTGAACCCCAGATTGATTGCTGGGAATCCAGCATGGGACTGATCCAGACCTCTGAATGTGGGTGTCAGTGAGGAGGCCTAGGCAATCTATGGGGACTTGTGTAGTAGATCAGTATTTATCCCTGGCATACAAATGGACTTTGGCGCCCATCCCACAATGAGAGATGCTGTCTCAGTCTGAACTCTTGGGGGAGGGCCTAGACACTGCCCTGGATGAAATGACAGACTATGGACACCCACCAGGGAAGGCCTCACCCTCCCTGGGGAAAGGAGCAGGAATTGGGGGAGGGGGATAGAGAGACTGATAGGAGGGTGTGGGAGGAGGGGAGGGAGAGGGAGGGAGCTGGGATTGACATGTGAAGCAACCTTGTTTCTAATTTAAAAATAAAACAAAAAAGTAAACAAAAAAAGAATAAACTGTACTTGTTATCTATACCAAAAAACAAAACAAAACATTTTTCTTTTTATCTTCTAAATGTGTGGCCAAGCATATCTCAATTTTGTAGTAGGGATCCATTGAGTAGTTGGTGCCAGAAGTTAGACTGTAAATGTAAACATTTCCCCCCGAGATGGATTGTGGCTAAGGAATGAGTGAGGAGGAATATTAAATGCTGTCCCTGAACTGAACTCTTAGATTCTTCTATCTGTACTGGGTTTTCCTCATCTCCAACAACTAACATAACTCTAGTTCTACTGTTTGCTGTGGCCTGCCAGTTGTACCAATGTTTCTCATTCTTTATTATCATACCCCTAAGGAAAAAGATTAATTAATCTCTTGTAATAATAAATGGCAATGAGCAAGATTCTGTTGGGTGACAATTCACTTTTGTGTTCTATGTGCCACCATAATTCATAGTTTTTACTTCCAAGGCCATTTTTGGCTCAGAAACAGCATCACCATTGCTGAGAAGGCACCACCTTCACCATCACCCATGGAACCTCTGAGTCAGATGAATGATCCAGTTCTCTCCCTGTACTTTGTAGTTTCAAGTTTTCTCCAGAGCTATTCATGACTCATTCCATCAATCCCTTGACTTCTGTTTGGTTCAGCTGCTGAGTTGAATGTTCTAGACTGTTTCAACTATGTAGTCATGGATAGTTTTAATATGTCATTGTGATTCTTCCCATGTTTTTATTACCATATCTTTCCATTGATATGGTAGTTTTTATGTTTATGAATGTTTTGTCTGCATATACATCTGCACACCAGAAGAGGGCATCAGATCCTATGGGGCTATAGTTATAGACAGATGTGAACCTCCATGTAGGTACTGGGAATTGAACTCAGGACCTCTGAAAGAACAACCAGTGCTCTTAACCACTGAACTATCTCTCCGACTGATATTGTAGACTTCTTGAAGATAAGTATCGTCTTTGTTTTCTTTGTTTGTGTTTTGATTTTGGTGTACTTCATACTGATCAACCAATCAGTACTTGTTGAGTTGAATATATGGTGGTCTCAAAAGTGTCACCAGCCTTTGGGTGTAGAGGATCTTCAAGGTATAGTATATCTACTTAAGTATATATTTGGAGGGGCTTTTGATCAACTCTTAGAGTTCTGAGTACTGACTTAGAATCTGATGCTATCCTAAACACTTCCCATACCTTTTAAAGTAGGTAGTAATGCAGCAGTACTTTATCATCAGACCACAAGCCTGCAAATAATGAAACAGAGACTTATTAATTATAAAAGCTTGCCTTTAGCTTAGGCTTGTTCCTAACTAGTTATTATGACTTAAATTAACCCGTATTTAAAAATCTATGTACTTCAATGAGGCTTGTTACCACATCTCCATAGTGTCCTTCCTGTTTCCTTGCTTCTGACTAATAACTCTACTTTTTCTTCCCAGAGTTCTCTCTCTGCCTGCTTCCTCTCCTGCCTAGCTCTTGGCCATTGAGCTTTTTGCTATACCAATCACAGAAACACATCTTCACACAGTGTACACATATCCTGTAACATAGTAATCTACCCATTTATAGACAAAAGTAGATTTCTGTTGTTGCGGTGACAGTATATGAGATACATTGAAGAAGGAAAGGCTTACTTTACCGTATGGTTCATGGCTATAGAGTCAAGGTAGAGCAAAACAACCTGCCTCAGGGCAGCTACCATGCAAAGGAATGGACAGAAAGGTACCAGACTTCATATGGCCTTCAGAGTCACCTCTCAGTAACGGGACTTCTCTCACTGGTACCAGCACCTAAAGTTCTCACACATGAAGTGGGAGAGGTCAAGTCTTTAACACACAGGCTTTTAGGGGGCCACTTATGAAAGCACAGTGACCTAGATATGGAGTAACTAGCCAAAGTTATGCAGCTAGAAGTAGTATAAACTCTTAGTCAGATAAAGTACATGATCAGCATGTTCAACTCCCCATAAAAACTGTTCAGAGATGGTCTAGGGGGAATGCAGATGTTTTATTTTTTCTTTGAGCTGGTGTTGGTTTGCTGTTGGAGAGGTCACCTATGTAATGATACTTTGCATGTCATCACAGAGAATGGCAATTGGGCAATTAGTTTCTGTTAATTTAGCCATTGAGCCATTGAACAAATGTTGGACACTTAAGTGCCAGATCCTGTGATGGAATTAAGTGTATGTAAAACAAGGCATTGGATCTGAGACAGCCCCAAGTCTCATTGGGAGAGTAGAATTCTTTTAAGTAGTCTCAGATCAGGAAATGCACATAGAACTATCTGAAGAAAGGACCAACATTCTATCCTTTGGATGTCATGAGCAAGCCCTGAAGAATGAATTCATGGGGTAGAAAATCACTTTAGCTTCCCCAGAGCATGAGGTAATTTAGGCAACCAATGACAAACACATAGGAGATAGTTGATATTTTGAAGGAATAGCTACGTGTGTTGTGAGTGGTGAAGATGGGGTTTATTCTGGGGGGGGAGAGTGTTATGATTCCTCCTGGAGTTATAATCCTGTTTTTCTTCTCCAGCTTTAAGACATCTAAGAGGAGATTAGCTGAAATAAATTGTAAAGAGCTATTAATGAAACCTTAAGGAATTAGAAACCAAATAATTTTGATACATATTTTGCTGAGTAAATATGTAATAGGAATAGAATCTCACCAGGAAATTTCTATAACATCACATAAAATATAAAATTCATTGTAATATTATCTCTAAATATTGCATTTATTCTTTAAGACTAGAGATAGATTCATTTGATTAAGTTTCAATGCTTTGTAATTTTAATTGTAGGATGTGAAGCTGACAGCAAGCAACGATGATTACTATTTTGTTTTTGAAGATTACTTATATCAGGTAAGTTTTTAAAATTTCCAGATCTTTTAGGTTCTCTAAATTGTAATACTTTAAAAATCTTCTATAGTTAGTAAATCTTCTCAGTTCCAAAATGAGTTTCTGGGCTGCCCCTTTGGTTATATATGCTGTAGCCAGGATGTGCTATCAAGGCAGTTTTCTTTAATTTTTGCTGGCACAAATTCTAAAACTAGATGTCAACTTAATACTCAAGCAATCCCAGGATGTTTAGAGAATACATTTTACATGACTACTGTTGCTGCTATACTTTAGAAATAATATTAAATGCAAGTATTAAATTTTATTAACTATATGTGGTGCATAGCCTATCTCATAAATTTATGATAACCTTTTGCGTAACTGAAATGTTATCCCATTGAATATCAGCTCTCTCTGTGCCCTCTCCAGACTATGGCAATGACGGTTTTCATCTCTGCTGCTGTGCAGCTTGACTGTTTAGACATCTCATACCAGTAGGATCCTGCCATCTCTGTCTTTCTGTGATAGGCTAACCTCAATTAGCAGTATCCTCTAGGTTCATCTGTACTGTCTCAGGTGGCAAGACGCCCTTCTTTTTGAAGACTAAATAGTATCATATTGTGTATACACAGTATTTTGTTTATTCATTTTTCTAAATAAGCTTCAATGCTGATCTTTATCCTCATTGCGTAAAGACAGGATAATTACAAGGCATAGTCAGGTGTTAATAAATACTTCCTTCACGATGATACTGTTTCCTCCTGTGCAATGTCTTATCCAGGAATCCCTAAACCATACTTCCCAAGCACTGATTTTGCTTCTTTTTTTTCTTTCCTTCTTCTGGACTCTGTACAGCATATATAGTGGTCAGTATGATGTCATAAGTTCAATGTCTCTGTTCACGTTAATACTTTTTTTCTGTTTCATAAAACCATTTATTCCCATTGCTTTATCTTCGGCTCTGGTGAATATATTCTACCTGTTCCAATCTGCCTTTTATCCTTCCAGTGAATTTTCATTTCAGCCATTCATTCCTACCTCCAGGGTTACAGTTTTGTTTCATTGTTGTTTTTCTGAGTTTGTTGTCTCTCACTTGGGGTTTCCATTTTGTTCAAGTGTCATTGTTCATTTTCTCACATATTTCTTTACCTGAGCATCACTGAGATCATTGTCCTAACACCTGAGCCTATTAAATTTGCCATCAGATCTTTTCAAGCACAATTTCATTTGGCTTTTTCATTTGCGTGGCCCATAGTTTCCCAACTCTTTGTATTTCTTTCTTTATGATTTTTGTTGAAACTGGATATTTGAGTATAATAATGTATCTCTGAAAATTACACATTCTTCACCTCTTAACCCGTATTTTTGGGGTGTCATTTGGAATTTTTGTTTTTGTTGCCTTGATTTTTTTAAGTTCAGCATGAGTTCTAACATTATACAGAGCTCTCCTGAGCCTACATTTTTACCTGGGCATGTAAGATTGCCTTGTCATTTGTCCCATAGTAAGGGGCATTTGTTATAATGCCCTGTCTCCTAACAAGAGGAAAGAAGAATGGAGCAGGGTGGGAGCGATCTGCTCTTTAAATCCAGAACTTTCCCAGCTAGAGAGCAGTGGAGTATGCCTTGTAGCAGACCCTTCTCCATTTCCACCCTCTGCCTCTGCACTCTGGGCAGACGTACTCATCATGGGTCAAGGAACAGGTGTCCAGTGTGGTGTGCAGCTCTGTGGCGCAGCAAGGAAGGAGCTGTAACTCCTCTAATGTGGAATTCCGTGTCTTATTTCTCTGTCTGCAGGGAAATGGCAGGCGTGCTAGAATTTGCTAGGATTTACACTGTAAGGAAATAGCAAATTTGATTACTTATGAAATAGGTAAAAATCACATTTGTATTGTGTGGGGTTATGACTGGTATTACTTGCTTTATTTACAAGAACATATACATGGCTGCTTGTCAACAGTGGGAGTTGGGGATGGTAAATGCTGCTGTGTCACAAGCTGGCATTGACCAGGTCAACCACAATTTACCAGTGAAGGTCCCCGTGAAAATTCCAAGATGTCAACAGATGCCACGCTTCCCAGATAGCTATATGAGACATATCTGTCAGCACAGTAGTGACTGGATAGGGAGTTAGCTGCAGGGGCTTCCTACTTCATTATCTTAGTAGAGAACACACGATAGAGTTCTCTTCATTAGCTTGGAGAAAATGCAGAAGTACACAATGGGGGATACGTGTAGCACTTGCATGTTAAAGATGTTGTCCAGTTGGAATCCATCATTTCTTTTGTGGTTTTCATTCCACAAATGAAACTTATTTCTCACTTTCCATCCCATTACAGTTATCTCTTAGAAACATTTAGAAATATACTTTGACATACTAAGAAAGCTTTTGGTCCAAGTAAACCATTTGTAGATATTCTTGATCTAACTCTGTGATATCAACCCACAGTTCATATTAGTACCCCATTTCTTACAATTCTAAAGAATGAGAGCCCGGCTATGAGTAATCTCACCTAGTACATTTACGTTTTTCTTTACTCGTTCTGAGTGTATATCCTAGCAGACATACAGTGAGCCTGCCGTCTCCTCACAGATAAAGAAGTGAGAGTTAACCCTGCTCAGACTAGAGCAGGAGTTGGCAGCTCCTGCGTGTATGCCAGGCTTGCATCCAGTACATGCTGTCTACAGCACTGCTCTGGCATTCTCACCTTACAGTCCAGTGTTCTCCTAGAGCAGGCTCAGATGTCTTGTCTTCTCCAGGCCACAGGCAGCAGAGCCTCTATGGGGTTATATTTAAGCACAGAGCTTCTTCTAAAGTTACTGTGCTACCCCAGCCTGCTAAACTAAGGGGATATTGATATAAACATTTCCTTAGGGTTTTCCTCTCTGAGGCAACAATAGATTGTTACAGATTTACACTTGCGTATTTTGGCCTTTATTTAGATTTATCGATGGTATTAGTTTATTGTTTGTATTAAATTGTTGCTGTGACTATAATGGATTATTACAATTCAATGAATCAAAGCAAATAAATCATCTTGATGTCCTGAAACACATAAATGTGTTTAACTTGGTTACATTCACAGTATCCACAGGGTTGCATTGTTTCTGGGGGCTCTGAACCCATTTCTTCATCTTTCCCAGCTTCCAGAATGCACTTTCTTTCTTTGGCTGGTTCCACCGTTTTCAGAGCCAGTGGATAGACAACATCATAAAGTCCCTCTCACCCTTCCTTGTTGCCCCTGTCTCATTTATAAAGATTTTAATGATTATGTTGGGTCCAGTCATACAATCCTGACTTCTATAAAATCAACTTTAAAAAATAAAATTTGAGGTTATAATTACATCATTTCTGCCTTCCCTTTCCTTCCCCCCCCCCCCCCGCTCTCCCACAATTTGCTTTTTTTCCCAAATTCATGACTTTTTTTGTCTACAATGGTTTAACTTTCAAATATGCTTATATAGTATGAAATACATACATACGACTCTCTCAGTCCATACAGTGTTATTTGTATTAACGTTTTCAGAGCTGACAGTTTGGTAGTTAACCAGTCAGTGTCTTTTCCATAGGGAAGACTGCGGCTCCAGCTCTCTGCCTTCCTTAGCTGATGTAGTTCTTTGTCTAGGGTTGAGGCCTCGAGAGTTTTCCCCCTTTCACATTTGCATGTCTCTTGGTCTCTTCCTTATTCGGGTCATGTTTAGGCAGCCTTGGTGCTAAGATTTAACGAGTGTAGCTTTGGGTATTTCTAGGAGACACAGTCTCACAATAAACTATCAGCTCTTCTCTCTTAAACTTTCCGCCCCTTTTCAAAATGACTCCTGAGCCTTAGATACAGGAGCTGTCCACGTATCACAGGCTATTGCTATTGCCCTTCGTTGCCCCTTGCCCCGGAAGTAGAAGTTAAGTCCCTATTGCTAAAGACAGTATGCACTTAAGACACGGAGCACAGAGGCCCTGGCTGGAACCGACCTGAGTGCCTCCTTCCTGAGGACTATCCCCAGGTAGTTGGCTAAGTTACCAGTACCAGGCTTTATTTCCCTCTTGGTGAGTCAGCCTTAAATTCAACTAGACTTACTACGGTATGCAGGCAAGGATTATACCCTTTGAGTTATTGTGAAACCATTGCAAGTGATCAGTTATGGACCCCAGCCTCAACTGATACCCTAGAACGCAATTCCTATAAGTCAGGTGCAGGGATCATTGTGGAAGAGGGATAGAAAGATTTAAAAGAGAGGAACAGGAAGTTTGCTGTGAGATTGTGTCTCCTAGAAATCTGCCAGAGAGGCTACATTCATGAAGTCTCACCAGTATGGCTGACTAAATGTGACCTGAACAAGGACAGCATCAACTGACATACTAACGAGGCCTCAATCCCAAAGTAGCACAGGCAACTAAGTGATGCTGACGTCAGAGAGCTTCTCTAGGAAAAAGCACACCGATTGGTTATCCAGTACCGAATGGTCAGCCCGGGAAGCATATACATGCAAGACACGTCATATGGACTGAGCAGGTTGTATTTATGTGTTTAGGAAAACACACAATCGTGCACACGAGAGCGCACGTGCACACACACACACACACACACACACACACACACACACACACACACCACCACCACCACTACCAGTTACAGAGAAAGAGTCCATGAATTTGAATGAAATGAGATGGGTTTACATTGGAGGGAATGAGAAGATGCAGCACCACCAACAACACAGGCACTGGGAGGCTGTGAGTAGCAGAGCGTGCTGCAGGAAGTTAGCGTGCCATTATACCCCTCCTGTAGGCATTTTGGTTGGATCGAGATGGGACAGGTATTCTGGCACTCGGGAGCCACAGTTCAGATAGAGTGTTACACAGTTCAGATGGAAAGGTTTCCTGGAGTTCGGGAGCCACAGAATACTGAGTGTTACCCAGCTCAGGTAGAAAGGTATCCTGGAGCACTGTCACCGTAGCTGAGTGCCGGGCTTTGTTTGCCTTTCTTTTGATGCACCCCTACTTCACCTGAGATGTGTGCTTGGTGTGGAGTGAGAGCAGAAGACAGCCAAATGATTTTTAGAAACCCGTGGAGGTTCGCCAGAGTGGACTTGAAGTGATAAGAATAATTGAAAAGGACAGAAGGCTGAATAAGTGTAGGCCAGAATTATAGAAGTCCTATGTAAGTAAATATAGGGAAAAGTGGGGATCATTCAAAAATCTAATGCTTGAATATTTTCCAGGAATGGAGAAACATAGTTGTGCCATATAAATAAGCAAATCCCAAATTAAATATATTAAGAATGGAGACTAGCCAAATATAGAAGATTAATAGCAATTTAGTAATAACTGTAGATAACCTTTTAATGTGACATACCCAGGTTCTATTCTTTTTTATTATTAAGTATGTTTTTATTTAAATTAGAAACATGTATGCTTCAAATGTCAATCCCAGCTCCCCCCTTCTCCCTCCACCAGCCCCACCCCACCCCCCACCCCCAGCCCAATCCAATCCCCACATCTTTCCCCAGGGAGGGTGAGGCCCTTCTTGGGGGGATGTCCAAGAGTCTGTCATTTCATCCAGGGCAGGACCTAGGCCCTTCCCCATGTGTCCAGGCTGAGAGAGCATCCCTCCATGTGGAATGGGCTCCCAAAGTTCATTTGTATGCCATAGTGAACACTAGTCTACTACCCAAGGCCCCAGAGACTTCTGAGGCCTCCTCACTGACACTACATTCATGGAGTCTGAATCAGTCCCCTGTTGGCCTCTCAGCTATCAGTCTGGGGTTCAAGAGCTCCCCCTTGTCCAGTCAGCTGTCTTTGTGGGTTTCACCAGCATGGTCTTGACCCCTTTGCTCATCGCTCCTCCATCTCTGACCTAGGTTCTATTCTAAACACTCCCTGTATACCAGTCAATCCCAATATACTTTGATCTCAGCATTGTTATCATATTAATTTTACATATGAGGACGCAAATACTTAGAAGTCCAGTCACTTGCCCTTGTCATCCAGTTAATAAACTGTGGAGCTTCAGTTTAAAGTCCAGCAAAACGAAGTCTAACTGCCTCATCTGTGCCCAGTTTTCTTTATGTAGCCATCTTTGTGACATCCTTAGAGTCCAGGTCTTCTAAATGTCCTTTCACTTGCCCGGGGACTGGACTTTCACCCCCAAATTCTGGCTAGTGTCATCAATCCAGTTTTTTCTATTGGGAAGCCTTGGTCCAAACTAGACCCTCTCTTTTATTTCTTGATGGAGTTGTTGTGTGCCCCTGCTAGCCAGGACAACCAGTTTCTGCCTTTACTATGAAAACTCTTGCTTTACTGCTGCCATCTGTTCTTGGGATGGAGTCCCCTTTTTCTTCCTCCCTTTCTCTCTTTCCTTCCTTCCTCCCTTCCTTCCTTCTTTCTTTCTTTCTTCATTCCTTCCTTCTTTCTTTCTTTCTTCATTCCTTCCTTCTTTCCTTCCTTCCTTCCTTCTTTTTTTCTCCATTCCTTCTTTCTTTCCGTCCTTCCTTTTTAACAAATATGTTTGTTTTCAAGACAGGGTTTCTCTGTGTAGCTTTGTAGATCAGACTGGCCTTGAACTCACAGAAATCCACTTGCCTCTGCCTCCTGAATGCTGGGATTAAAGGCGTGCGCCACCACCGCCCTGCTCCCCCCACCCCCTCTCTTGACATGCCCACCAGTCTGTTGCACACCAATTAAGTCTGGTTCCAATTTCCTACACCCCTGTGTTTGTGTGTGATAACCCCCAGGCGCCCCTGTGTGGTTCTCATCTGTTAGCTTTCTCAAGGTGATTTTAGTTTCCTGATAAAACACCAGAAAACCAGCACATAGTTAGCAGCTTGCGTTTTCTGGTGTTCAAAGTCTGGGGAGCAAACAGGGAAATCATCTTTAGGAGAACAGCCTTCATGAGGAGTCCTTCTGTGAACATTTAACCTAGGCTTACCAATAGAGGGTGCTCTTGCCATTGCAGAGCTCAGCACTGAACTTGGGCTGTCCCACTCCAGTGCCTCATCAGTATGCAGTTATAATTAATTTCATTGTTCTATAGCAGTGCTCATTGTTTGTTTTTCCAATGTTATATCCAGGTATTACTTTGCTTTTCACGGGATACGTCTGTATTGAGTCACTTTGCATACAACAGTGCTTCACCACCGAAATCATACATCAGAGGTAATATTTTGATAATACTAAAGATAAATTGCTAAAGACTTACATAATCACTCCAAGAATGTTTGATATATCTTATATTTGTATTTCCAGATTTTAAACAGAAAGTCTGATTTCTCTGCAATAGTAATTACTGTCTTTTCCTTTCAATGTCAGTACCCAAGCTCTGACCACAGACCATCCTCCAATGGTGACAGAGCATTGTGGTTGACTTTTTAGTCTTTGCCATATCCTGCCTCCTCTGTCCTGTCGGTGCCAAATCTGTCTGTTTTCTTCTCTTCCCTACCCACAAACTCATCACAGAGATTCGTCTTTTCAATTTTTCTTAACTTTCTTTTTGTAAATTAATGTTGGAGTCATCTAGCTGCTACCCTTAAAATTATGGTAAGAGTGTGTGCCCTTACCTCTAATTTTTATTCTAGTGTTCTCTCTAATGCTACCTGACTCACTGTATCCATGTCACTGAAGACTGAACTACCTTGAACCCTTCTCCACTTTTCACTGAGGGGTAAACACCCAGCGCTAAGATCTCACTGCCCCATTGTGTGTCTGTGTGTGGATCTTCTGCTGCCTCCATGAAGAAAGAAACCATTTCTCCAGGATTTTATCGCTGCCTGGTTGTTCCAACACTTGCCCTAGGACAGACTCCATCATCTTGTGTTGGAGTCAGGCTGCCCCAACTTGGCGCTGAAACAAATACATAAAAGCTCCCTTTTGTTTTTCTCAAAAGAGGTGGGTGGATGGGGAAGTTGCCTGTGGTGCAAACATGAGGAGCTCACTTTGGTTCCCCAATAAAGCCAGGCACAGCAGAGACCAGTGGATTCCAGATGCTCATGGCCAGCCATACTAGCTGAATCATCAGAAAATAAGATGGAGGTTGATGGGGAGACAATTGACTTTGATCTCTGGCTTCCACATACAAACACACACATACACATGCATGCACACACATGAATATACATATATGATATACACCCTTACATCCCATCCTGCACATATAATAATGTTAAAGTTTAATTACCTAGTGGGCTAAATGAGATGTAATTTTAAGACCTTCCACCTGCCCACACCATTTAACCTCATTTCCGTTCCTTCCCTGATTATCTCATAACGTGCTGTGTTCTATTCTAGCCCCCTCCAGAGCCATAGCACACGGAAGCTTCACGTTCCATCCTCGCAAATTATAGGTTCTTGATGAACTAGCCTGTATCTCATGTCTACCAACCTATCATCAGTTTCCCTCCGCTCTGAGCTTGAAACCCTCAAAGCCCATTTAAAAGAAGTCAGCAAAGTTGTTCCATTATTTGTGGTTTGGCTGGGATTATAACCCTTGTGGGTGGGGACTGTACCCTATATTTGCTATGCTTGTCTTGATATCTACTACTCTGATCAACTGTGTGTCTGTGTTTCATTATTCCATTCTTTCCTGTGACAAAGATCACTAAGTTCTGTGTGTCTTCTCTGTAACCTAAGATGGCCACACATTTTACTCTTACCTTCTCCCTGCCTTACACCCAACAAAAAATAATAAATTTTAATTTATATCCCAATGCAAGAATGAATGTCTTTCTAACAAACTCAAGTTGTTAAGAAAACTGCTAAGATGAAAGCCACCTGCCTTGGTTAGGGTTACTGTTGCTGTGGTGAAGCCCTATGAAAACGCAAGCTGGGGAGGACCGTGTTGATTTGGCTTATGTTTCCTTATCACGGTTCATCATCGAAGGAAGTGAATACAGGAACTCAAACAGGGCAGGACCCTGGAGGCAGGAGCTGATACAGAGGACATGGAGGGGTGCTGCTTACTGGCTTGCTTTGCATGGCTTGCTCAGTCTGCTTTTGTACAGAACCCAGGGCCTAAGGATGCACACACCTACCATGGCTGGGCCCTTCCCACATTAGTCACAGCAATAAAAAATGTCCTACAGGCTTGTCTGCTTACACCTGGTCTTGTGGAGGCATTTTCTCATTTGAGGTTTGATCCTTTCGGGTAACTTTAGCCTGTGTCAAGTCGACATAAAACTAGCCAGCACACCACCTAGAGTTATCCAGTGGAAAACGGGGAAAGTGAGCAGCTGTTGAACATTACAAGGAATGTACTTTCCTAGAACCATTCTGTTTTCAAATGCTTATCCTTTGTCTCCGATCATACAAACTCTGTTGGGAGTCAGGATATAGTGGAAGATACCTAGTTTTTAATTCCAACACCATTTTCTAAAACCATAAGCTAATATGGCAAGACTTCAGACTTGCTTTAATGAATTTATGCTTATAAATTATTCTCAAATGCTTGAGGAAATTTGAAAGTATTGTTTAAACAGTATTATTGCTTTTAATTCCTAAAAGGCTATGCTGGTATCAGACGGTCAACTGACAGATTTCCAACTAATTCCATATCATGAAATGAAATAAAGTTAGATTAAGTTATTTTTTAAATTCCATTCATTATACATTCATTGGTAGGACATTCACAGAATGTTGGTTTTTAAAACTTTAGCTGGGTATGGTGGTGCATGCCTTTAATCTCAACAGTCAGGAGACAGAGATAGGTTGGTTGATCTTTGTGAGTTCAAGCCAGTCAGTCTGGTCTACAAAGCAAGTTCCAGGACAGCCAAGGCTACACAGAGAAACCCTGTCTCAAAAACCCAAAACCAGCAAACCAACAATTTTACTGTCTGTGTGACTTTCTCTTACAGGAAAGCTAGGATTAGAAGAATACGCTGTCTTTTACCCACCGAATGGTAAGTGATGCTGCTGCTTCCTCTAGAGGGAGACGGGGAAATGACAGCTTTAGTCCTGAGGGTGTAACTTTCTCATTCTGTCCTTAAAATGGAACACAAATTATCATCTAAAATATTCCTTCTTTCTGTAAAAGGTCTATTTTACTGACTTCCTCCATGTTTGTGTAGTTTGGTGCCAAACTGTACATATCCTTCCCAGATCTGCTTGAGACCAATGGGAGATTTGTGAGAAGCTGAGTCAGTGCAGACACCCAAGTCTAAGGCATGTGGTTTTCCTTGAAGAGCAATAACTAGCTCAACCAGGACTTTCACTTGGTGTTATTGCCACAGTGCTGGAGCTAGGGGAACAGACTGCCATGTGCTGTACCTCCCTGTCTTCATTAGTGACCAGTGTGGTATTAAAGAAATACAAAGATTGTGAAGAAAGTCATTGAACTTGCTGAGTCACGATTGCAAATGACCCCATATTTACTATTTAGACATTCAGCGTACAGGTCTTTTAGTATGTGTAGAAATAGTATGTAGCTGTTCTTATCCTGATGGCATTAGCTACATCCTGAATAACTTTTGCTTTAGAGGAATTAAGAGCTTGGGCATTGTAACCCAGTGGATCTGGGTTCAGATTTGAGCTCTGCAAACTCAGCCTCTGATCTTGGTTAAGTTACGTGATTTCCCCGACCTCAAGTCTCATCAATTAGTATACGGATAATGATCACATGAGGTATGTTATGAAAACAGGAGCATGGGCCTAACATGTAATGAGTGCAGAAAGTACAATCATGGCAGTTGTTTTTAACAGTACAGAGCACTGTCTGAAAGTCAAGCATGGCTTTCATCTCTGTGACATGGTTTCTTATAGCCTTGTTTTGTTGTTTTTCTCCTCTTCTCTCTTCACACATTTCCCTATGTTTCCATTTGCTTCCATGGATTTATCTGTTCATTACTAAAATTTCTCTCTCCAGTTCTAACATCTTCTGTGATTACCCCAAACTTAGTATGACCCACCTTAGTATATTATTTTCCTGTGCCCCTCAAGATAAAAACAAACAAACAAAAAATTAAGCTGGGTGATAGTGGTGCACACCTTTAATCATAGCACTTGGGAGGCAGAGCCAGCTGAATCTCTGTGAGTTCAAGGCTAGTCTCGAGACGTCTACAGAGTGAGTTCCAGAACAGGCTCCAAAGCTACACAGAGAACCCCTGCCTTGGAAAACGAAAGAAAAATTAAAATAACAAGCAACCAACCTATGCCTGTCTCAGTTAACTGCCATTTTCATCTACCCAGTTACTCGGACTCAGGTCCTGAAACCTGGAAGTCATCCTAGATGCTTCAGTGTTGCCCAGCCTCCATCGATGTCTCTAGAGCCTTTCTCTTTCATCGGGAGTCATCTCTTCCTCTCTCTTATCACTGCCTTGCCCTCTATGTGACCCTGTTGTCTCCAGTAGAACTGTGGTGACTGTCTATGTCAGTGTTTCTTCCTTACCTTTTCTAGTTCTCAGTGTTTGTCTCTGTCGTCTCAGTTATACCTCCAAAATGAAAATATGAAGATTGCCATTTTTCAAGATAACTAATGTAGTTGAAAAGCTTAACACCCAAGTTTCTCAGTATGATATGCAGAGTGGGACCCCTGGAGTCTGACCTCAGTACATTTGACTCCCTAGCCTCATGTATTACCATTTCCCATCTCACTCCTGAAGAAATTAATATTGATATCCAGCTGTTTATTGTCACACACTCTGACACAACACTGTGCTGCTTCCTATGTCATGCCCAGCATTGTTCCCTGCTCAGGGTCGATCATTCAGCTTTCCTTCCCTTGACCATCAAGGAGGCTCAGTGCAGGCATGATCCTGTTAGTATGCGTCACGGACTCTCTCCTAGGTTAAGGGCCCTTCTCCTGGCTCTCATGTACATGGACTTTGGTGTCGCTCAGCTTCATCTGCCTCTCAGTGCTGCAACTTCAGAAGTTCCAGACTGTATTCTAGTTTCATCATTGCTCTCCCAGTGTCTAGCGTGTAGTAATACTGCAACGAGTTTACTTGAACTAAATTAGATGTGTTTTTTTTTCCTTCTGTTTTTCAAGACAGGGTTTCCCTGTATTGTTTTGGAGGCTGTCCTGGAACTCGCTCTGTAGACCAGGTTGGGCTCTAATTCACAGAGATCTTCCATGCCTCTGCCTCCTGAGTGCTGGGATTAAAGGCGTGCGCCACCAACGTCCGGCAGATGTGTTTTAATTTTTATGTGTAGACATGAATTGTTTTTTACCCTTTATTCCAAGGACTTAATTTTCCAGTAATTTTTTATATTTAAGAACTAGAAAACCAGAAAAAATAAAATGTGTTTAAGTAGCTGAGAAAAGGTATTCATAGACTCAAGGGAACAGAAGGCGTTGTTTAGCAGAACTTAGCTTTTACTTAAACATGTGCCTGACCTATGTCAGAACTGAAATGTGAAGACCTCACACAATAGAACATTATACAGGAGCACTCCAGCAAATCATCTTGGGACTGATTCATATAAAAGCCAGTAGCTCTCCGGTCTTTACAATGATTATAGGTTGTAACAAATTGTAATTTCAGCTCTTTTGTGTATGTGTGTGGTACTGTGTGTTAAACCCGTTATCTCAGTATGCTAGGCACATGTTCTACAACCCTAAAATAAAATCTTTATAACCATGTCAAGACATGTACATATAAGTAATAATTTATGAGTAGTTGTGGATGCATCAGCTAATATCTTCTGAGCCATACTAAGCAAGTCAGAATTATGTTAAGTATATTGCATGTATTAACTCATGAAATCCTTATATAACTCTATGATACAGGTACTACTGTTATTCAATTCATAGATAAAGAAACTGAGGCACAGAGGGTTAACTGCCTGGCTGGTGAGTGACAAAACCAGGCTGAACCCATGATATCTGGCTTCAGAAACAGTATTGCTGTCACTTGCCCCCAAGCCTCAGAACATGTAACTAAAGTTATTATAGTATCTCTGGAAAGAAAAGAAAGTGACCACAATATTGACAAGGTAAAGAGTTCCATATAGTAGTACTACAAAGATTTCTACACACACTAAAAATAAATAATTGCATACAAGCTGAGATCAACTCACAGCTGTTCATAAATTTAGTTCTACAGAATCACTCACTTCTTTGGGGGTGGTTTTAGGACTTACAGAGCCAAGGACACTCTTCTAGAGACAAAGTCCACTCAGTGTACGGACTCCTTTCTCTGAAATGTAGGTAGTACTGCACAATGTTTCATATTACCTGTCTCATTCTCTAACCTCTGCCAGAACAATATTACTTTGAAAACAGTCAGAACTGGCTTGACTTTCTTGGTCGCCTGACTTTCTTGGGCAGAGACATTCACCTGAAGATCTCTGGAGTCCTCTGTCCCTGACCAGCAGGTGCGTCCATGGATAGAGTTTTCACACCACCACCCACATTTTTCCTCCATGCACCCGTGACACCTTTCCTAGGATGGAGATGAAAGTCATGGTGGTATGAGGCATCACCTCACTGAAGACTCACCAGTGGACAGATCCTCTCTAATAAATCAAGTTCTTCTTAAACAAAATTTCTGAGCTGAGTGAGACATCTCACAGGTGTCTTACAAGTTTTTCATGTTTACTGTTATTATTCAAACACGTGTAGATTGCATCTGCTCATTTGCTGAATATTCATTTCCTGCTCTGACTAATGCTGTGTGACCCACAGTAGTGAAGTGTACAAATAAAGGACCTGCTGCCAAGGACCTTTCCTGCTAGTAAAGTAGATATACAAGAGAGAGAGAGGAGTATGTGAGGGTGAGGAACTGAGCAGTAAAGGTATCAGAAAGTATGGGCGTTTGGGGAAGGCCTGGCTGTTGCAGATCAGGTGATGAAAGGCACCTCCAGGAAGTAGAAACTAATAGAGTCCCAGTGAGCAGAGTGGGCAGTGTAAAACGGTGGGAAAAGAACATTCCAGAGGGAGATCATAGATAGCATGTTTAAGGCCAAGACCAAGACTGATGTTCTGAAGAGCACCACAATGGGTAAGGTGACTTCTAATGAGCTGATACAGGAAAGGGCCAGACCAGGGTGGGATATGATTGATGTAAATCCATCTAGGATCACTCAAGGATGATTTGTCTTAATTTCTTTTTACTTTTTCCCCTTGTGGATGAGCTGTGCTTCATTTCTGTGCATACCTAGATTTTTTTTTCCGTTGCTTGAAAATTGGCTGTCTTCCCTATTATAATGTGATAATTCTGGGAATCAGGCTGCCCCCCACAATTCACTGTTGTTGCTCATGCTTTAGAATTGTTTGTTTGGTGATTTATTTAAACTCTTTCTAAATTTACTATATTTATTATTATTGTGCCTACCAAAGTCTCTGTTCTTTTAGCTTAATAGTGAGCTATGATTTGATAAGAATTTCCTTAAATAGTCAAGGAAATTTTTTAAGCCTTGGAGTAGGTCACACCTGAAGGTTACCTAGACAATTTACAACTCTGTTAGTTTTCACTGTTTTTCAGAGGCTAAAGTCAGGAATGAAAGCCGGGTTCTCCATCCTTCCTAGATCCCTCTGTAGTGTATACATGGAAGTTTCAAAGTCCTTATTTCCTCATATAGTTCCTTTCTGGGCCTCTTCCTTTCCATGCTTTTCAAGCTGTCTATTATTTGCACCATCTGCTATTCCTTCTTCCTTGGGGCCATAGTGTATTTACTCTTAAATGTTCTTGATATCTGCTGCCTGCAAGACACTCCAGTCCGTGAAATCCCTGAGACTAGCAGGTGCAGCACAGCGTATCTGAGCCTGTCCCTCAGGCAGCCTGTAGACAGGTCAGAGCACAAAGGAAATTTCTCCCCCATAAAGATGCGTGTTGCTCCTCTCACAGCAGCAAGTTACACCAGGAATGTGGGCTGCTGTTTGCACGGCTGTTGCCAAGCTGTAGAGTAGGGGATGGCAGTGGGTGGATAATTTAAAATGCCGCAGTTATGTCTTACCAAAATT